GGTCGTGGGTATGAACCCATGAGGGAATCTAGATTTTCCCACTGTCAGAGAAACATATGTTTAGATTTTTCAGATATGTGACTTTTTGTGTGCATTTATGTTTCTTCTGACTTCAATTTTTCCTTTCTCTTATTTTCTGTTTTATGTTCACTATAAAGCTAGTGGAGGAAAGCCAGTTACCTCGCAGAGAATGGTTTCTCCAAGAGTTGTACCCTCGTTGGATTCAAAGGAAGCCACTGCTGCAAAGCAGAGCCCTTCAGTAGGGTTGCCTCCAAAATCTAACGAACAAGTAGTCAATAAATCCCTGGTTGTGCCTAATATTGTACCTCGGAGCAGTCCTGATGGAAAGGATATGGCTAACTCTGGAAGGGAAGCTGTTGCGTTTTCAAGGACCAGACGTGGTATGTTGCTCAAACCAGCTCATGCACGAAGAGCATCAAATAGCAAAATTGACTTCGAGGAGCTGCCACCGGATGTTGAATCTGGAAAACTTTGCAATATGATGAGTAAATCAGATAGTGCAATGGATCTTAACTGTCAAACCAAAACTGTATCGGAAGATAGGGCTAGAGAGTCGTGTGAGGAAAATCATTCTGAGATCAAGAGTGTAGAAGAGAAGTTTGAAAAAGTTATATCGCTGAAGAAGGCCTCTAATCAGGAATCCAGTAAGTTTTTGCTCTTATATAGCCGTCTATTTATAACTCTAAATTATATATTTTAATTGGTTCTTGTTCTTTCTTTTCTTTTCTTTTTATAAATTTGACTTATGTTATCCTTGATTTCTCTTGATTGAGAACCTGTTCATTATCCCTTTTTGCTTATCAAACCTTAATTCACTTCTGTGTTTGCTTACTCGGGCTGTTGTGTCTTTAACTAAATGCTGCGTTGGCCAACGAAACTACCAACACCGTGCTATTCCCTTCATGGGATCCATAATTGGTCTTATTAATCATAAATGTTTTAACTACTGAGGTTTTATGCGAGTATCAGACATGTAACAATCTTCATTAGGAGTATATGTTTATTGCTAACATCAGAGCTGTTAGTACAACTTCTGAGAAAGTTTATGAGGGCGTTTCTCTATTCTTTACTGCACTCTGCTGCAACCCATACTAGAAGAAATAGATAAATTGATAAAACAAGGAAATGTAATATAAGGAGTCTTAATTGTGTTTCTGAAATTGCTTCTCTCTCCAAAATTTCCCATTTTGTATAATGTGAAGTATAGTTTATTCATTGTTTAGTTGTTCTCTGTAATAATAATCTTTATTTTTTATGTTCTCTAGCTGGTACTTATTGATTTTCTATAATGTTTCAGGAAATGGATCCCTCAATTGCAGCAAGGAGGCAAACTCTGTTAAATTTGTGAATGGAGGTTTGCCATTGCTTACCTTCTTTGTGATTCTAAATCTAAATAACATATTAGTGGATGTCACTGGATTTCTTAAGATTCTGCTTTTGGCAGTTGCAGTTGTACCAGGAAGGACCCGCACCCTGGTTGAGAGATTTGAAAGGAGAGAGAGATTTGATCGTAATGAAGATCAAGCAACTAGCATTTCTAGTCCTGTAATACTTGAAAACCAAGCAACTAGCATGACTAGTCCTGTGACACCTGAAGATCAAGTAACTAGTATATCTGGTCCTATGATACCTGAAGTTGAATCTAGCATCTCTAGTCCTGTGATACCTGAAGTTGAAGCTAGTATCTCTAGTCCTGTGATTCCTGAAGTTGAAGCTAGCATCTCTAGTCCTGTGATACCTGAAAGGGAAAAAACATCCACCAGGCTGGTAAATTTTCTCTGCCTCAAGAAGCTTTTCTAGTCTTACATTATGAAGAAAGTTACCATCTCTATTAGATTAGGCCTTAAGAGCAAGGGGTTTATTTGACATGCAAAAAAAAAGAAAAAAAAGAGGGAATCTGGACAATTTGTGCCTTTGCCAATGTACATATCACTTATTCTTTCAACCTGGAATGGAACATAAACATAACTTTTATTTGTTGTTTGTAACTAGCAGAAAGAAGGACCTCAGATTTCTGGGAGGCATATGGCCTCTACAAATAATGGGGGTCCTAGTGAAGATTTGATGCAAAATCATGAAGTTTTTCTCAGTACCCTTCGTTCCCGCCTGACAAAATTGCAGGTAAATTAACTTTCTGTGCATGTTTGTTCCATGAAGTTTTCGCACATAATCTGTTGTCATTCTTCTGAAAATTAATTTTTATGTGACTCTGCAACCTAATACAGGTAACTTCGTCGGACGCCTGATATTTTGTTCTCAGATTTGTTCCAATCTAGGGTTCTGTGTTAATACACGATATTTATAACATCTGAATTGCTTCACCCAATGTGATTGAAAATCTGTTCTTACGATAATAGGTTGAAAAGGAAATTTATAGGTGCCACATTACATTAATTTAATTTCTTCATTTTCTGTTTGGGCCATATATGAATTGCCTCTTGAATATTTCTTTCAAGCACTGCTGCCTTGCTGGAAGTCATGACATACACTTCTGTGCAACTGCAGGTGGTGCGGCATTTTTGGGAACGGAATGATATTAAAGGTGCTATTGGTGCTATCAGGAAGCTGCCAGATCATTCTGTGGGTATTTGTTGGATGAGTTCATGTGTGTTGCATATACTATTTCCAGTGGTTCTAACAAGTAAACCGCTGTTGCTCTCTCTGCATATTTGGGTTTTCTAAGAATGATCTTATAATGGTGCAGGTACAAGCGGATGTTATTAGTGTTCTTCTAGAGAAAATGGATATCCTCACTTTAGATCTCTTTTCTCGTTTGCTTCCTGTGCTTCTGGGCCTACTTGATAGCAAGATTGAAAGGTAATTGTTTAATGAGTGAGGTTGTAAACAAATTCATGATCTTAGCAGTGGATGATGTGAGTAGTTGGAATTTCAGTGGAACTGGTAAAATCTTTGACATGAATTACTAGCTACTATTAATAGTAGTGCCAACACATGAACAAATACTGTCCTTTGAGTTTTCAATAAGGACAGTTCAATTTCATTTGTATAGGAGCGCAGTGTTGCTAGTTTAGCAAAAGGAACTTTTTGGTAGTTTTATTCTTTTAGATGATTCCTGGAGGAACTTTTTTTTTAATGATTTATAAACGTCATTGTGAAATCTTCTTGAGCAATAAGAGTCTCTCACGCAGCTTCATTTATATTGTGTGCTTATATTCAGGGGTAAGGGTCTTTGTCCCAAATCCCCATGCCCGTAAGTATTCGTTGGATTTGATTGCAGTCTTACAAAAAAATGTTTTGTATATGCTGCAAATGTACAGGCATGCAATTGTGTCGTTGGAGATGCTATTGAAGCTAGTGGCAGTCTTTGGCCCAGTGATACACTCGACCATTTCAGCACCTCCAGCTGTTGGTGTCAACCTTCAGGCAGAGCAAAGGTAATGTGTATTAAGAAATTTGCCTCATTCTCTTTTCATATGATGCGAAAGAAATTCAATTTGAAAATTTGAGTATACAGGCTCCAATGCTGCAACCAATGCTTTATCCAGCTGCAGAAGATCCAGAAAATTCTTCCGGTCTTTGTAAGGTTAGATGCGGACTCCGATGATCTAAGCCGCAATAATTTTTTTTTAAAGATGTCCTTGCTAATGCCATAAGGAATGGGCATGATTTAATTTGTTTTGAATGTAGGAGGGGTGGTGTGCTGGCAAGATGTGCTCAGGAATTGAATCTAGTTCTTCAACAGTCATAAGAACAGATACTGTCTGCGAAAAGTGCAAAAGGATGGCTTTGGCTTGGCTGGCTCTCACAATTTTGTTTTACAAGTCCTCATGAGTTTTGGGATTTAGTCAATAACGGAATAGAATACTAAAGCTCAAGAATTTTGCGAGGCAAAGCTTCAAAGAAAAATCTCTCACTTGCTTCTAAGAGCTGGAAGACAGAAGTAGTCATCCCTACCGTTGGATCATTTTCAGGCATCGCATTGCATTGAGTGAGAATCTCCTGATTTTGTTGCTCTGTATGGTGGGGAGGGTTGCTGTTTGTAACTTCGATTCATTTTGTAACCTGTAATGCTATACATGAACACTGCAATTTCTATCCTTCGATGATATATATATAAATATACTTGTTCTTCAAACTAGCACTTCTTTTTCATCCACATTCCGTAGGTTATCAACAACATTCATGAAAAAAGAAACTTACAAAGGGATGTGAAGGGGGTACTTCTAAAGATAGAAAGTAGAGAGACAGAGAGTGACTTATGAAAATGACACAATATTGAACTATCATAGGGAAATTTTGTCCTATGTTGCTTTGTAACATAAGTATATGTAGAAAACAGAATTATAACGATGCTAAAGGCAATCCAGTGGTAGAGAGAGAGTGGAGAGAGAAACCCCTTTCATATTTGACCTACATGTAACGTGCCCTATTATTTCTGGTTATATAATCTCCCATTGTTCTTTTCATTTTCTTCACATTTTTCATAGCCTCCATTTTAAGTACCTTGTTTTTAGTTTGTTTAAGGCTTTTCTTCGTCAACCTCAATAGAAAATAGAATCCGTCAACACCTTGTCCCACGCATACTATAATTAAAAAACCCAAAACGAAAAAACCTTCAACACCACCTAAACCTCCCAAAACCACCTTCTCTCTCATCCATATCCGCTTTTCCATCTGCGAAAACTACCTTTCTTTAATACCAAAAAAAGAAGAAAAAAAAACCTACCTTTCATGTCAAGCCTACCCAACATCTCCAAGAGCAGGTTTTCCAATACCCAAAGGTGGTCTTTTAATTCCTGTACGGACCATTCAGTTGGGTTTCTTTCATTTTTCTTTATCATCTATTTTCTTTTTTTCATTCATGATCGGAAGGGGCGGTGGGTGGCTGGGTATGTATTGTTTGTGGAGCGGCGTACGCTAACGTGAGCCGGGGGTCGGGGGTGCGTAGAATAAGAAAAGGGAAAGAAGGTGGCGGTGGTGGTCGGTGATGATCAGGGGCGTACACGTGGAGGGTGAAGATGGGGGCGGAGGTAAGAGGAGGTAGTAGGTGGGGCACATGGGTGGAGCTCCTATTGGCCGGGGCCATCCTAAGACACGGAACCCGAGACTGGAACCAGGTGGCCGCGGAGCTCCGAGCCAGAACCGCTTGTCCGTACACTTTCACGCCCGAGGTTTTTTTTTTTTTTTTTTTTTTTTTTTTTTTTTTTTTTTGTTAGTTTTTTTGTTTTTTTTTTTTTTTTGAATTTGCATGTTAAGCAACACTTTAAAACATTTCTTTATATTGTTCATTTGATTTATTGTTTTCCCTTCTTCGTCTACGAGGTCTTTTTTTTGAGGTCTGCTGTTTATCCGATGATTTTTTACTTTTTTAAGGATGCCTTTCATTTATTGGGTGGGTCCTTACCAGGTGAATAAATTAATACGAGGTTATCAAAAGGAATAAAATGAATAAGTTGTTTGGGTTGCTTGCTTGGGCCTCGATTGGTTTTTTTTTTCTTTCTGGCTCAGTCCATAAAGTAGGTAGGTCAAAGAAGTATATATCCATGGCTTTTTTATCTCCAAAAAAAAAAAAAAAAAAAAAAAAAAAAAAAAAAAAAAAAAAAGTTACTAGACTATGTTAAGCTCTACTTATTGCTTGAGCTAGACTTTCCTTGTATTAGTTTTTGGATGCAAGTGTTCTGTGGAGATATATAATCTGGTTGATATTTTGTTCATAGCATTATTTGCTCATCCAGTATGATGAACATGTTATCTATGTTTTGTTCCCAGGTGTGTAAAGCCAAATATAATGACTTGCGAAAGCGATACTCTGGATGCAAGTAAGTTCTATGTGTAAAGTGCACATTTTTTGGTTTTGCATAAATATTTTAAGATTTGTATGTAAGTAAGTTATCATTTCTGTTTTCATGGATTAGCTTCGACTTTCCTTAATAATGTATCTATGTGGTGTCTGTGATCATGCACGCATGGAAGTAGTTATATGACTGTATGTGTTCATCTTTAAATCTTGTGTTTTTCTCCGTAGGGCTTGGTTTGAAGATCTACGAAAGAAACGAATGGAAGAGTTGAGACAAGCTCTCAAAAAATCTGAAGACTCAATAGGGTTAGTTATTTCCTTTCTTTTCAAGATGTTTATGTTTAGAAAATGATCAGAAATGCTTCGCATGTTCTAGATTTGTGTTTAGACCAAACTGCTCCTAGAGAACTGACATAGTTCCCTTCAAGCACTTGGGCAATTTCCCCCTTGCATTTATCCTTTCGTATTCTACATGCCATCAAGACCTTGACTAGAAAACTTACAGTCTACAGAGTCCTCCATGTTGTCTCTTTGCGTTTCGGTTAAAGATTTATTCGATGTGGCTGTTACAGATCTTTGGAATCAAAGCTTGAAACTCTCAAGGCGGAGAAAGGAGAAGATGGTTACAACAATTATGGCTCCACCCAGACAGAATTACCTGTTGCTTATCAAAATCAGTGGGACATTACCCTTCTTCTAAAGAGGCATTTAAGGACGAGCCATCTGCTGGCAGTTTCACATGTGAAGCATTGACAAGCTGCTCACCTGAATGCCAGATACCAGTTACAGAGTCAACTGAAGAAACAGAGACTAAAAGAGAAGCTTCACACTCTTCCGAGCATGAGAAAATCTCAAGCATGGAGAAGTTGGTAGGAACTTTGTATGTAGGAGTAGGACTAGGAGGGAATCTGAGAAAGAGACGGGGTATGAGGAAGAGGAAGGATTGTACTAGTAGGGATGTTAAGGAAGCCAGCATTGGAGAAAGTCGCCTTTTGGATTCTCCTGATGCTGTAACTGCCTTGCGGTGTATAGAAAATTCAAACAGCGAATGTCGTGAGGAATTTGCCTCTTCTGGTGCGGGTGATTGTAATAGAGGTTCGACCAAGGATGAAACTGACCATCTGTGGAACGTTTTCAATTCATTTTTGGAGCATAAAAGTGCCTCTGTCTTTCGTCATCGACTTGATAGCCAGGTATGGAGTGTGTTTGATGCTTTACAACTATATCTTGTTCAATTGGTCTACTGAACTCACCACCTTGGTGAACTGATCATTGTGCTGTGCTGGTTTCTGCTTTTCAGCACGTATACCTTGAAAAATAGTTACCTCTTAAGCATGTTGTTTATGACTTAGAGATATCCATTACTTGTTTCATCTGATAGAAATTGTGGATTCCATCCACAATGAACAGACCTTTGGCATACTGTAACATAATGTATGAAGTAAACTTTCTCTAATTATCAACCGTATTTCATGACAGAAGAGACGAAGATATAAGAAATTGATCCATAGACACATGGATTTTGACACAATAAGATCGAGGATTTCCCACCACTCTGTGATGTCAGTTAAGGAACTCTTTCGAGATCTCTTGCTGCTTGCAAACAATGCCTTGGTGTTTTACTCCAAGAACACGCGCGAATACAAATCTGCTTTGCTTCTCAGAGACCTCACCACCAAAACATTGCGGCAGCATCTCAAGGATTCTAGCGGCAAGGCTACCTCTGCCAACCTCTCCTCAAATGCATTAGTGTGTAATCCTCCCGGTAAACCCCGGAGTGCTCGCCCAGCTGGTAACAGAAGGTTGTCGGGAAAGGCTACCCATGCAGGAAATGCGGCTGCTAAGACTTCAAACAGAAGTAAGAAGCCAAGTCATGCTAATGCTGATTCCTCTCCTTCAGTTGAATCTTTCGCTGTGATGAAGAAAACCTCCGGGCACCCAAGAAAAGTTGGACGTAGAAGTGTTAGTCAACAAAATGTAACTCCCGTGAAGGGAAGGAAAAGAGGTCGGACAAAGTAGATGTAGCTGTAAATTGTTCCTATCCTTTTTTTCCATTTAAAGTCCAGGTTTAGCTTCAGGTTCTAGATTCAGAAAATCGGATGTAGAGTTTGTAGGATCTTGTGTACAAAAGTTTCTGGTTCCTTTTTCCCTGGTGCTGGTTCTCAGTATGACCAATATAACAAGATGTAGTTTTGTAAAGCATCAATCAAAACACCTACGACTGTAAAATTTCTGAAATGATCCATCTCAGAAATGGATGTTTCATCAAACATTAACATACATAATGCTTGCTTCTTAAGATTTACTTTACCAGAACTAGCAGCCACTCAGTCTCTCTAACCCACTTATCTTGTAATAAAGTAAGCGGCTTTTATCATTTCCCATCGATGCATGCTACATCAATCCTCGTTTTTTTTTCAAACTCGATATCATGCTTAAAGCTACTGAATATGCCATAATTATAGCTGATTAGATGCAACACCAAATATAAACCGATAAAATTGACTGAAATTTGAGCATCATCTGAAAAATGGATTAAAAGTGCAATACAATATAATGTCAATTATGGACTGTTATGTTTGTTTAATCATTAGTTACGCTTCATAACATTACGTTACAAGTTATACCAACTTATTCATGAAATTTATCCAACAACTATCATTCATGAAATTTAAATTATAGAGTTAATTAGAAGTTTTAATAAAATAGAGATTAACGACCATTCGAGACACATAAATATAAAATTCCATTGTAACTTTTAGCAAAATGTCACATACAACAAATGACAGAAACTGGTTCCCCCAATTGCATGATATAAGAACAACAAATACACACACAGCCGTGAAGGTGGCCTTTCCAACAAATGACCATTGATGTTACCTACCATATCCAATATTTCCAACCATTTATGATGCATGATGCATGCATCGATCTTTCATTGCATGGGTCATGGGTGCCACGTGCGGGACAAAAACCCAGGTCTACCTCACAGAAGTCATAAATATTGACTCGTGCGTTCTGTTTTGGTTTTGGTCTTTGATTGGGTCCATAAGTTTGCTGCAAACTTAGACGTAACTAGCACAACTTACTACCCAATCCCAACTACTCCTCCAAGCCCAACTTCCCTAGTTGTTTTTTTTTAAATAAATAAATATTTATTAATATTATATATCATATTATTAATACGTACCAAACACAAGAATAAACCAATCCATGTGATTTCTTTAATTAATGACGACAAAAACTCCTAACTTAATTTGTTTTGGTCAGTGCAACTAATTAGATTATGTATTTATTTATTCCATATTAACTCCAATAGATCTTCTTAAATAAATAAAATAAACTCCAATTCCAATAGATGCCTTCAAAGTCAAAACAATAAAACCTTATTTATTTTTCTTCGTTATTGTGTGTATATATATATATATATATATATATATTTATGCACCGCCGAGCCACATAAACGGATAACAGTGTAGGTGTTATTGCTACATACATGTATAAATATAAAATATTGTATTGTCTGCCAAAATACGTGTCATCTTAAACAATAATTTGCCGTTTAGTGTCTATTTTAATGTGTTTTAATACGTAATTTAATTCCCAGCCTCCACTAAATAATGTTACTAATCTAATTATTTTATTATTATGCTAATTAACTCAAAGTGCATTGTATTAATACCAATGTCGTTTTCTTCTACGCATAAATAATATTGTTTTGGAACAAGAAAATGCCTTTTAAACAAGTAAAATAATTTTGGAAAGAGATGGCTGCAACCAGTATGTATCGTCACATGATAGATGTGATCATAAACATAAAAACGACAGAATGCTTAGACTTGGGTAAGCTTTTGGATTATTTTTAAAATAAAGCTAATAAAATCTAGTGCTTATCTTCTTTCTTCTTTCTTTTTTTTTTTTTTTTCATCTTTTCACATACAATGCATATAATTTACTATTTCCCACGTATAAATGAAATCACAATTATAAAAATATAAAAAATATAAATTAAGAGAATTAAACAAGCATCTCTATACCTTCTAAATTTCTTATCTTGATTGACTTATTCTACACATTATAGAAAGGACAATGTTGAGAGGATAAAAGCTAGCTAAAGAGCTACATGAATAGTGAGCTTATTATCCGCCCATTGTAAATAATTTTAAATTAAATGCTCACTTTCTAAAACCAACCAGTGAAACTAACCCTTACGGAAAGATAAAGGCAAACGACGCGTAAAAGAAAAAGATTTTGGTAAGTAAGATGTGATCTCTCACCGAATTCGAAATAAAATAAAATAAAATATTTTTTTTTGTAGGATCTTTCATATTAAGATAAGCGATAATATACTAAACTCTCACACAATATATACTTGGACTCGAACCCAGAACATTGTATGAGGGAGCAAATACTCAAAACCACTACACTAGTAGGTCATTTACAAATTAATAGATACTTAAATACTATTTTTTTGAGTAAAAATAAATTTTTTTAAATTAAAATTGAATAGCAAAAATCCACATCAAACTTTTATCTTTTTCCTTCATTCATTAGACAGGAAAAGTTAGAGTCAAACGATTATTTTAGGAATGAGAACAAATTGATTTACACATACCTTTTTTTCCCTTGAAAGCATTACTGAATATTTTTGTCGCCCTTTTAATATTTTCGAGAAAAAAATATTAGTAAATTAATCATACCGTGGTTGAAAAGGTGGGTGCTAAGTGGAAATTGATATTTTATTTATTATAATCGAAAGTATTAATAATTAATTTGCTAGGGGGAGTTGATCAAACGGTGGTTCACTAACTATTCAGCATTTGGAGTTGTTCACTAACTGTTCGCGTGTGTTTGATAAACGCACCTCGCATTTGTCGTCCTCGTATGTCGTCAAAAGATTGGTTGGAATCCGGCTTTTAAGGGAGTATGTGGAAGAATCTGATTGGCCAGAGGTTTCCGACACCCAACAATCTCCAAACTCGAGAAGCGAAGGAAAGTGACTTTTGCCATAATGGGTCCGTGCTTTCATGTATTTACAATACAAAATCGGAATTGCTGAATACCGCGTGTGAATTTAGGAAATTCAAATTCTTTATGACTCGTACGAGTGGATAATGAGAAAATGATTAGCGTAAGTTAAACAACAAACTCTTATGAATAGTATGCATAGTCTTCGTACATCTTTCAAATTAAACAACAATATTCATATTATGCTTTGATTGCACATGAAATGTAAACATCTTGTTAATCTAATATAATCCAGTCTAATTCTCCCCACCAATCGAGGCCGAATTTCCTCTTCTTCTTCACAGTGCAGGTCCCCTCCTCTAGAAGTTTGGCTCCTCTACTACCACTGGTAACTATCGCTGAACCCATTAATCGCCCATTAATTTGTGATTAATGGATAATTAAAAGTCGCCCAAAATATAAAAGGATACTTAGACAGGTGTGGGAATTGAATGTAAAGCTGCCAAAAATATTACTGAAGTATCATTAGATTGAAAAGGAAATTATTCTTCGTCCTTATCGGAAAATAAATTAAGCGGACAAATCTGTTCCAGCACATGAAAGTTGTATTAGAAAATCTCTGGATAAATTCCATTCAATTTTAATATCAGCAGTGCTGTTATAAAATTTTCCAAAAACCATTTATTCAAAAAAAGAAAAGAAAATTCAAACCCAAAGGATCGGGTAACATAGACAGATTTTGGACATACACCAGCAGACGGTGACATTTCACAGTTTCTCTGTGTGTTTGTATTTTTTAAAATTATTTGTAAACAATAAAACAAAGCAAAAAACAAAAAAACAGAAAATGAAAACTTGAGATTGAGAGTCTGGTCTGAGATTTCTCCAATATAAAGTATAGACATGAAATTAGCAAAGGAGGACACGAGGATCCGAGGGTTCGCGTGTGTCTGATACACAGTGACACTCGTCGGCGAGAATCAGAGCCCAAAACCAAACGAAGAAAAAACCCATTTTTCTCTCATCATCATTTCTTCATTTCCATGGTTTTCTGATTCTTCTGCGCATGCCCTCACTACTACATCGGCAGCTGACTCACTCCCTTGAAACCCGCCCCCTCCGTCTCCTTCGTCTTTCGACTCTCTCTCCCCCCCTCAATACTCTCGCTCTCTCTATATTGCTCAGTCTCTTTCTTTGCTCTCTCTCTATATCTCTCTCTGCTTCTGCTTTCTTCTGCTGGGTTTTACCGAATCATAGTCATTGCTTTTGGGTTCAGCTCAGACTTTAGTGACAGCCTCAGCTGGAGCTCGATCGATTTACCACTTTCTTTCTTCCGGGCCTTTGCTTTTGGAGGCTTCCGATCTTTCATCCAGTCTCTGTTTCTTGGCGATTCACAGAGGAGGTGCTTAGTTTTCTGGTTTCATGGTGAGTTTTCTCTTGGGTTCTCTTAAGTGATTGATCAGCTTCAAGATTCTTCAATGATGTCCGCAAAAAAAATGTGCAAATTTTTTTTAATTTTATTTTTAAATTTAAAGAAATTGCTGTATCTGGGTTTAAATCATTTTTGCCTTATTAAGATCTCATGGAATTCATTTCTGTATAATAGAGTTTTCCCCTGATGGTAAATTTTAAAAAATAACACTTTTTTTTTATCTGTTTGTGTTCAGGGTGGGTAGTCTTATGTAGTATTTAATTAGTAATTTCTTTAAAGTTAGGTCGGTTCTGCAAGTGTACTTATTTATTAATAGATTTAGTATTTACCTTGAAAGCCTGAAAGAAGTCTCTGTTGCCCAGATTATATATGGAAGCCCCTTGTTGTAGTACTGATCTTTGGAGTCCTTCTAAGACATTCCCACTTACTTGAATAGAAATTCAATCCCTCCCTGGCTTACCCCGTTTCGTAACTCAAAACATCCAGAAATAAGATGCATGATTATATATAGAATCAGCCGTCAAACTTGGATTTTGGCAAATTTGTGGAATTACTTCTTAAAAAATAGTGTATTCTGGATAGCATTTGGTTGGAATCACAACTAATTTTTGTCTTTGTTTAATGTGCGTGTATTGCAGCATGTTATTGTTATGAAAATAAAATAGAAGACTTGGTTGTCTATGAAGTCGCCAAACTCATGGATATGGGTGTTCAAGAAAAGGAATGCTTTCTCTGATGGAGTATGATCCACAATCTTAGCACCTTTTATTTATTTATTGTTGTGTTAAGTTCAAATGATGCCAAAAGGTTTTGCTATTGAGTGATATTTTGGAGTTATTATTTTTTTAATCAAGTGTTCCTATAATGTATAATGCCGGTGCAGGGAAAATGCGGATTGAAGATGAAGCAGCTGTCGTTTATGGGAGTTGTATGTACAGTAATGCTGTTCATTGTGTATAGAACCACCAACTACCAATATCAAGCTTATCGGCAGACAGAGGTACACCTTCTGTTCATCTGAACTTGTCACTCATCCTTTATAAGGATCAACTAAGATTGGCAGGATATTCTCTTGATGACCTTCTGGCAATCCATTTGGAATCTGTTGACACCATCTTACTCAAGAATATATCAACAATTTTACTGCATTTGATTGGCCGATTTAAATAAGTTGACACTGATTTTAGAGAAACCCAAAGTAACATAGGAGCATTACTAATGATTTATATGATATTCTTCAAATTACTGTTTTTGTTGCCCTGGCGTTCAGTCTACTGATTGTTCTTTTCTCCTCTCATTTATTAGATGGACGCAAAATGGAATCCCTTTGACACAGTAAAGGTAACTGCTTAGATCCTTGTAGCCATGTTGCCAAGTTAATGTTTTCTTACCCTGCCTAATCGGTTTTTCATAACACCTTTAAGTAAGTCTTCTGAAGCTGTTCTTCATTGGTTTATAAATTACTGAAGTTACCAGCCTGATTAATGAATCTTGCATATTGGATGATCCAATGTGGATGTATGTTTCTTACCTTCACTATATTCTAAATTTCTTCTGTTACTTGCCCCTAGGATATTTTTGTGACTTCCAAAAAGTTGGACAGTTTACCTCGTGGCATAATACAAGCTAGGTCAGATTTAGAGCTAAGGCCTTTATGGTTGACAAGTGGGTCAAGGTTAAAGGTAAGATTCTGATCATTTTGTGCTTGACATAATTTTTAAGGTTCTTTCTTGCACGCCCACTTGTCCTCAGTAATAAAAAATTATAGATGATTGCTAGATTATTTGTTCTGTGAGGGGTAAACCAAAGTTCATTAATTGTGATAATTGTGTTCATGATGACATATATATATTTTGTGATTTGGGGTGGTTATTCTGATTCAGGTTGGTGATTATAGCCATCGTAACTTGCTGGCTATTCCGGTTGGTATTAAGCAAAAGGATAGTGTTGATGCTATCGTGGAAAAGGTAAGTAATACATTTTTCTGCTGTTATGTTCAAAGTGACATCAAGTGACACTTGTCCTAATTTTATCAATTTCAGTTTCTTCCAGAAAACTTTACCATCATTCTATTCCATTATGATGGGAATGTTGATGGATGGTGGGATCTTGAGTGGAGTAGCGATGCCATACACATAGTTGCCCAGAACCAAACAAAGTGGTAAGTTAGTAGTTGCCTTCATGATTCTCTGCAATTATCTGGCTTGAGTCCACTGAAAAAATGGCCTTTTTTATATATTAAATTATTCCAAGAGTTCAGCATCTACTTGAATTTATTAACTATGGATGTACTGCGTGCAATGAACTCATTGTATCTCACATTTGCATTTATCAAAGGGCAGTTCCCGACTATTGATGTTCCTTGATTTTTGTTTCATTTCTCATTTCTCGTCTTTCTTACTATTTTTATGGTTTATTTTCAGGTGGTTTGCCAAACGCTTTCTACATCCAGATATTGTGTCCATTTATGATTACGTGTTTCTTTGGGATGAAGATTTGGGGGTTGAGAATTTTCATCCAGGAAGGTAATATTAATGGGTGTCTAGCACAATTTATGCAAGGCATACTCTGCTTCTGTTTGCCTCTGAATATATTAACTTGGTCCCATAGGTAGCATATTGATTTTGTTTGTGTGTTTTTATCTGGACCATTTATGTTCTTCATTGCATATAATTTAAATTTTGGATTTTCTTTCCCAGATACCTTGAAATTGTTAGAGAAGCAGGACTGGAGATATCTCAGCCAGCTTTGCATCCAAATTCAACAGATATACATCATAGAATTACAATTCGTGCTAGAAAAAAGAAGTTCCATAGGTGAATATCATGGTCTAAACCACTGTATTGTAAACTATTTATTTTTCTGAATATTTGTTATACTCAAACAAAATTTTCACTCTTTGCAGAAGAGTTTATGACATCAGAGGCAGTGTGAAGTGTACAGAAGCAAGTCAGACACCACCATGCACTGGGTGAGTTGTCATACTGGTACAATAGATATAGCTATTCCTTCTAAGAGTAAGGAATCTGTTGAATGCTTTTATCTATGGGATGAGTAATTATGATATCTGACCTACCTGATATGTTTCCTTGGTTTACCACTGTTTCTAAATATCTAATCTGTAAAGATGGGAGCTGACACATTTTTTATGTTCTGACACTGTCATGTATGTTTGGACCTTGCGCCACCAGTAGGTCTCACTATGTGTAATTCAACTTATTTTGGGAGGTTGTGGATATAAGGATTTGTATTTAGGATCTCCTCCTCTGATATCATAATAAATTTTTATGGTTTGCAAATCCTAAAAATCTGATAAATTGATTGTTAAGGTGTGGCTTAGCAATTATTTGATAGTCTTACACTATCTTCTCTTATTAGACTGAATGGGCACACAAGTTGATGAATCGCTATAATAGCGTTCTTAAGTGATATGCATCTAACATTGGTTATCTGGATAGTAATGTCTTCTTTTAGGATATAGTCTATAATTTTCTCTAATGGACTGTGGAATGGTTATTTAGCCTTTTAAATTGACAAATGCAGGTTTGTGGAAGGTATGGCTCCGGTTTTTTCAAGAGCTGCCTGGCATTGTACTTGGCATCTTATACAGGTATCCTTTTTTTATCTTGGTCTGTTCAACTCCACTATAACCCCAATAAACTTTTTTGAAATATTATTTATTATTTTTGGTATTTGTTGCCATGGATTTCTTTCTTTGTGCTGGAACCTTTTCTCGCTGATAAGAGGAGGATCATCCCCATGCTATTTCAATTTTCAAATTTTTTGGAGTGCTTATCTCTTATAAAATTTGAGCACCACTACCATGTCAAATACAATTTTGAAAATATCTTTGTTAAGTTATTCACAGAGCTGCTTTATTTTTGTTCAGAATGATCTTGTACATGGATGGGGTCTGGACATGAAACTTGGATATTGTGCACAGGTAAAACCTACTTTCCTATTTCTTGGGTAAGGTTTAGAATCAATTTCCTCATTCAGTTACTATTTTTATGAGATTTTCTGCACTGGGGTTTGGTTGTCCAAAATTGCTTCAGTTTCTTATCTTTGCTTGATTATTGATTATATCAAATCAACAGTTCCATGTGAGTTTACTTTACGTAACATTTAGCAGTCGCCATAAGTAAAATGCCACATTTTGCAGGGAGACCGTACAACGAAGGTGGGAGTTGTTGATAGTGAATATATTGTTCATAAGGGCATACAAACTTTGGGAGATGGTGGTTTGTCTGCAAGAAAGGTTAGTTGCTCTCTGCCTCTTCGTTGGCTGCAAGAAAGCTTTTATGCTTTTGTTTGATGCTTGCTAGTGTTTGCAAGTGGTGGGCTATTGTTCGAATTATATGTTTACTGGTGTTAAACCATAAATGAACAATTATCTTGATGGTGGGATTGTTTTCAGATTAGCCCTTTACAATCTCCTGCACATATTCATCTTAACGGCTCAGTTTTTTTTTCTCCCTTTTTCTTGGACTATAAAAATTTCTGAACTCTCTCTCTCTCTCTCTATTTGCAGGTTTCCAGTCGTGGGAAGACAAGCAAGGTAACCTTCACTATAAGCATTAGAAGTCTTTTTTACTCTTTATTTTTTTTCATAAAATATTCGACAGCTACAAGCAGTCTAAATATCATCTTGTTAACTTTCATTCTATGATATGCAGAAGAAACGTGGTGCTTCAGGTTTTGATGTGCGAACTGAGGTGAGACTAATGAATCTGTAGCCTGCTTTCCATTATGTGTGTATAAATATTCAATTGTATAATCTGAAATGGTGAAAAGTAATAATCTCCGGTGACTTGATACGTATTTGTTTTACATTCAATATGGACTTTGCAGATTAGGAGGCAATCAACGCGGGAGTTTTCAATCTTCAAAGAGCGATGGAATAATGCTGTAGATGAGGACATGAACTGGACCGATCCATTTAAAAGTAGCATAAGACGCCGGCGCAAACGAAACACCCATTTGAGCTCTTAAGTTAATCCTAATGGGGGTGGCGTAAAATGTTAGTGCAGATTCATTTACAGGAAGAGTCTCCATCTATACCAATAGTTTGTGTAGCCTTTTTTAAACACATAATTAATTCATTATTTGGATATTCATTAATTTTGTTCCCTGCAATTCAGATTTAGCCCCATGTTCTGTGTATCTTGTTCCGGCCACTTACTCCTTTTTCTTTTTCTTGGTTTATACAAGCTATTTAGCTTTTGGTGTAAGATTATAGCTGGTATACTGGTCTCCCATACGCTGTTGAAAAAACCAACAGAGTGATTTAGAGGAAGCTGGCAGGGACAATATAAACAGCAAATTCTGTCCATTTTCTGGATGAATTAATTTATAGGCATTTTCTTCTCTTTTCATGAGGTCTCATCTCTGACCACATTTGATCAATTCAATATCACAGCTAGCCTAGCATGACTGCAAAAACACACAAGCTGAGGGATGTGAAAAGAGAAGAAGCAGCCTTCTTGGGCTGACATGGGGCTAATATTTATGAGTTGAATATTAAACACAAAAGAAAAAGGTTAATCCCTCTAGAAGCACATCAATAGCGCGTAGTCCGTAATATAATCAAATCAAAGTCTTTACAGCTGGTGCTTGCTACTCTATTAAAATAAATAATAATCATTCTGAAATGAATTTTCTAGTTTTGGGTTAAGTGTTGCTAATGGGTAGAATTTTTTTTATTTTATTGTATAAAAAATAATTTTTTAGTGTTGTGTAAATGCTGCTGTTTTGCAAATGAAAACAGAGGAAAGCAGCGGACTTCATTGTAGATGAGATCATAAATAAGAAGATTAAAGAACTCTTATTTAAGATTAGTTGACGACGATTATAGTTATATGTGTGTGATAAATCCTCTTTTTTTGTAGTTTAGATTATCGCTTGTATTCAAAAAAAAAAAAAAAAAAAAAAAAAAAAAAAGATGACCATGTTATTGGACGCTGACACCAATATTATGAACAAAAAACCATAAAAAAATTAACAAGGAATTTTTGTTACAACCAAAGCAACAGCTAACAGGACAGCAGCATGTGGGTTAATTGACCAACTTTGCAACTTACGCATTCAAATTATTTTTGAGTTTTTCTTCTTCATTTTCGGTATTATCTAAAAAATTAAAAATTAAAACCAAAAAACGGAAATTTCGTTTTTAGCCCCAGAAATATGAAAATCAAAATAAAAAGCCGCCTTCGTTGTCTAAAGCGGACAAAAGAGTAGACGAGTCCTCCGCTTTCTCTATCTAGAAAAATATTTAAAGACAGCAACCGTTCACTTATTTTCTCTCCCTAGAAATTCCATTAATCTCCTCAGTTTCTTTTAATTTTGTGTCTGAAAATAATTTTTCTCCTTCAATTCTATTTCTTCGCCTACAAGCTTTTTCTTTTCATTTTCTGCTTGTAGTCTCAGATCTCTTAAGACAATTTGCCTCCAAGTTCTGAGACTGGTCCTCGGCACTCAAATCTCATCTATCTCTCTTCCATGGCTGGTCGATACGATAGTAACCCTTTTGCTGAGGAAGATGAAGTCAATCCCTTCTCTGTAAGTTTCTTTGCCAATCATTTTCCTACTGTTTCTATTGAAATGAATTCGAATTGGGTTTTTTAATTTGGTGAATCTGATTTAGTAAGGTCGTTGACTTGCTGGGTTTTGGATGTGTTTTAGTAGATTTTAAGATCTATGGTTTTTTGTGTGTTTGGGTTTCGTTGTGAAATTAAAGTAAATCGATCGACTTTTCTCCAACTGCGCAACTTTTCTGGAGCTTTATTGTCTTGTTGAATTTTTATTATAGCAGTTTTCTCTAGAAATTATGATCGAAATCCATATATACAAGTAACCTTATCTAAATCCAGCTTCGCAACTTCTTTTTTTCTTTCTCGATTTTGAGTTGGCGTTGGCGGTAGATTGTGTGGTTTTTAATACCAGCCAAAATCTTGTTGGATATGGTCGGAATGGGATTCCAGACACAGTGCTCAGTCCCTTGCACATATAGGGTTTAAAAACTATCTTCCTTAGACGTTTTTTGCTTGTAGAAAATGATTTTGGTGTGGACTCTTAACTTAAGGTTTGACTCTAAAAGGACAAATACGACATTGCATTGTAAAAAAGGATGTAGATTCATGTAACCCAGTTAAGGAAAATGGATCATACTTGAATGTCTCCGTTCACAAGTAGTTGTTCTAATTTCTGATACCCCCAGAACAGATTTTGGATTACAATCAAATCGTGGATGGAAGGGGTACCTATAAAGTTCCCAAAATTCAGAGCTTCTAAAACTATCCAATTATTGTTTAAAGTACATCTAGACATGTAGTTGTATCTGTGGAGTACATTGACGGTAGAGAATAGAGGGTTTTATTAACAGGGAACATTGAGTTCATTACTTGGGTTCTTAAATGATGTGTTTCTCTGTTTCCTTCGGAAACGGTAATCATGGCTTTGTATGTAAAAGAAACTGAGGAAATATACTGGCTTATATCACCTACTGTTTGAGCTCTCATGCATATGTGCTACAAATTGATCAGAATCCTGGAAGTGTTGCTCCTGCCAAAAACTCAAGACTTTCACCTCTTCCTCCTGAGCGTGCTGGTTTCAATTATGGCCTTGGTGACACCGTTGATATACCTATCGATGGAAATGCAGTAAGTTTGAACTCAACTTGTTAAATAGTCAATTGAAATTGACCTATTTTTTAAATACTAATTTTAGTTTTTTCTTTCTTTTGAATCTAGGATCTGAAAAAGAGGGAGAGGGAGCTCCAAGCTAAAGAAGCTGAATTGAGAAAGCGGGAGGAGGTATGACTTGAAAGAAACTATAAATTTTGAATGTGTGAAATTTTCTCTTACTGGGCTATGTACTTAATTAGTACACTGTTGTTGTCAACCTGGTCATCAATACGAGGCTGAAAATCTTCTCAAATTAAAAAGTGTGAAAGTGACCTTTCTGGGTTGGATTGTACCGCTTGTATTTCCTGGAGTACAATCCTACCCCATAAAGAGAGGCAGGGGGTGACGTCAGTGATACAATGTCATGCGCATGTGAATTGCATTTTTACATAAAAAGATAGTGCTGATTTTCATTAATGCCTTTTTCTATAATAAAAAAACAAAAAACAAAAAGTGTGGCAATTCGTTCTCTCCAAATTTGGTGTTCCGTGGTGGAATCTGGTATGGTTATAGATGTGCTCATAGGATGACATGGCTGTCCTGTTACAAGGTATATGGGACGTGTTTGAAGGGCTGTTACCATTATGCATTTTCTTGGTGTCTGGTTAGGGAGGAGTAGGAGGGTGTTTAAGGGGACAATTTTCTGGGATGGATTTAAGGGACTGGCTTATGAGTTTTTTCTTTGAATATTTTCAGAGCAGTTCTGTTTCGTTCTTCTCTTGTTGACTTTTACTTTCTTAACATATGTTTCAATTAACTTCCTGTTATGGTTGATCATTCATCCATACAAAATTTAACTGTTTTTTAATTTATTATTGTGCAGATGGTAAAACGGAAAGAAGATGCTGCAGCACGTGGTATTTTAACTGTTTTTAAATTTATTTTCCTCTTCTTCTCATTTTGGGGGGGTTTAAAGTTTTGTGTTCCAAATGCTGTACAAACACTTACAAGTTTGATGTCCTTTGAAAGTTTATCAACTATAGTTTTTCCATGCTCCCTTTTGTTTTGCAGCTGGAATTGTTCTTGAGGAAAAAAATTGGCCAGCTTTCTTCCCAATTATCCATCATGATATTGCAAATGAAATACCGATTCACTTACAAAGGGTGCAGTATGTTGCGTTTACCACATGGTTAGGTATGCCAACCATTTAATTTTATGGATTTTATGATTATGTGTTAACTATAATCACAATTATAATTGCAAATTTAATGTAAATGAATTGTATATGCGTGTGGCTTTTTGTTCCCTTGGGCGGAAATCGTTGTTGTTGGTGGTTGACCTTGTACTATGGTGTTAGGCCTGAAAATTTGATGAAAGCCCAAAACTTATAACAATCATAAGTATAGCAGTTGGGTTTAGTTTCTATATACCATTGCATGCTCTTGACTTCAAAAGATGACTTATTTTACCTAGTGGCTGTAGTGTCTAATCATCTGTTTCTTAGCATTACTTCATCATGCCATCATGATTTGGTTGTGAGATAGGCTGTGTGAGCTGTTCTTTTATTTTTTATTTTTTAAGTATCCTTAACTTTTAAACTAAAGTTCATCAGGGACTCTCTAGATTTTGGTGATGAATGGTGATGTTATGCAGGAATTGTTCTTTGCCTTTTCTGGAATATAATAGCTGTTACTACAGCGTGGATTAAGGGTGAAGGTGAGTGATAGTATACTGTGCACCTGTTCTGCACATGATCAAGTATTTATTTTGGATCCTCAAGTTTGGTGAATTTGAACATTTTGTGATTTTTGTGTAGGGGTAAAAATCTGGTTCCTTGCTGTTATCTACTTCATAGCAGGGGCTCCTGGATCCTATGTCTTGTGGTACCGGCCACTGTACCGAGTTTTCAGGTATGTATTGCCCATTTTTATAAAATTGGTCCTTGATATATATTTTTTCTTCTTCTTTTTTTAGCCTTTCTGAAGTCCTATTTTTGTGATTCCTCTTGTTTATAAGCCAAAAAGAAACCCTCTGAAGCTTGAACCCATGTGAGACTATAATGAAGCAACAAAGAACAATTTAGTGAACGTGTAGGGAAGAAATTTTATTGGATTTTAGTAATATGATAGTATGTGATGATGGTTATGAGGAATTAATCTGGTTCAGCTGCTGCAACTTCCAAGTTGTTAACCTCTGTTCTGACATTAGCGCTAATGTATCATGTAATTGTTTCAAGAATGTGGACTGATGTTTTAGCTCCTGGATTTTTACTTGTGAAATTGATTTGTATTCTCATTCAATCTTTTTGCAGGTCCGAGAGTGCTTTGAAGTATGGATGGTTTTTCATGTTTTATTTGGTAAGTTGGGTGGTAGGCATGCAATTCATTTCAGGAACTCAGCATAACTATTACTCATAATCTATTTTCTTCTTCCTACAGCTCCACATTGGCTTCTGCATCTTTGCTGCTGTTGCTCCTCCACTAATTTTCAAAGGAAAATCTCTCACGTATGCCCTCTTTTAAATTAGGAATGCACTTCAACATTCTTTATAAGAGAAAACCTTTTTCCCTTTGTTTGCTGCTTATGATTTCCTGTTGTGTTCCTTTGGAACAGTGGCATTCTGGCTGCAGTTGATGTTGTGGGAAACCATGCTTTGGTTGGGGTAAGAATGCTGGTCCTGAAGTCAATTTTTTTCCGAACATTCTGTATGACTGCCCACCCCCACACGCGTGGAGCACATTCAGATGCTTCTTTTTCTTTGAGGATACTAATTATTTTTTCATTGTTTATAGATCTTCTACTTCATTGGATTTGGAATGTTCTGTCTTGAATCATTGCTTAGCATCTGGGTTATTCAGGTCCAATATCCAATATCCAATTCTCGTTGCCATATTCTCACAAAAAGATAGGCAATGTGTTGGGTGCTGTTGTAGCACTTATTCTTTGGTCCTCTTTAACACCTTTATTTTTTGTCCTTTGCATGTGCAGCAAGTGTACATGTACTTCCGGGGAAGCGGTAAAGCAGCCGAAATGAGGCGTGAAGGAGCAAGAGGAGTTGTGAGGGCAGCGCTTTGAAGTTAAAAGCTTGTACGGAGAAGAAAAGATGGGAGACTTCTGTATTGATATAGGTTGTATATGCCCTTAGTTGCAGGATTTGCGGATACACAGATGTTTTGTTTGAGCCTTTATTTTTTATTTGTTCCTTCCTTTTTATGCTTGTTTCATAGAGATTGATTGATTTAAGTGCTACCACTGTTTCTATACTGGAGACTGATTAGGAGGCTTGCTAGAAAGAAAAAAACATTTTCTCTTCATTTTGCTGTTTCTAAAGATCCTGTTAATTCCATCATTTTTAGCCTAATTTTTGGAAATGTCACTCTCGGCCATGATTATTCCTGTAACCTGGGCCCTTATTTGCGTATTGAGTGAAGGTATAAGGTATAAATAGATATGAAAAGGCTGATTTTAAAATTTTGCAACAGATCAACGCTAGACTGTAATATTAATTACGAAAGCAACGTATATCCTAAATGAAAGAAAATGTTGTCTTTGTCAAAAGAATCGAGAATAACTATCAACTTGAATGAAATTTTGTTGAGATGCGTGGTGTGGTCCAAAGTTGATTCTGGAGCATAGAGGGCATCATTAGCCTTTAAATGAAGCAAAATCATATCACATGGACTTGAGGTTTCAACACAATCACAAAAAGCTTTAAATACAACCGGCAAAGCGTAGCACCAAAAAGGGAAAACATACAAATGCTCTTAAGCCACTCGAAGTAGTAGTAGAAACTTGCAAAAAAGAAGATTAAATAGTCCCATGGGATATATATAATATGGTCTACTACTTAAAAACATCATCATATTAATATTACCGGCTGCCGGCTGCCGGCTGCAGCAGCATAACAGGAACACCACCCTATTTTCCTCTAGCAATAAGCACTACACTTCTTCTTGCAATCAATGGTGCACCCCCCGCCGCCGCCGCCGCCACCGTACCCCTTTCCTGATCGGCTGTAGGAGGTGAAGCACTTAGCAGGGCACGTCAGCTTCTTCTTGTAGCATGGACCCTTTTCTTTACACACCAGAGAAGTCCTCACAGTACCACCCCTGGAGTACCCTCCATTCGGACCCCCATACCCGCCTCCATACCCGCCACCCACACCGCTGCCAAAGCCCTTTCCAAACCCGGGTATGTCGAAGCCGGGTCCAAAGAACCCGCCCATGCCACCATTACCACCACCTTTGTTGTTTTTGTTGTTCTGGTTGGTGGGTTTGTCATTTGAGTGCTTGAGTTCAGCTGAGAAACTGGATTCGGGTCGGGCTGAGATAACAAGTGAAGCAGAGAGGAGCAGAGTGGCTAAGAAAAGACTTGATATTGGGATCATTTTTTCGTTTTGCTTTTGCTTTTTTTTGGGTGGGAGTTAGTGGGGAGAGAGTGTGATGAGAATTGAGAATTGAGAAAGGAGTGTTTGTGAACTGGGAATGAATATATACAAGTGGAGTGGGGGACATATCCTTCCTTCCTTGCTGGTGGTGGTACTAGTGGTAGTGGTAGTGATGAGGAAGAAAAGGCACATTTAATAGAGATGGTGTTGGAGGACAGTTTGCAAGGCCCTCTATGAATGCGAGTAGGTCGGGTGCATTTATTATCCTCATCTTTTTGTTTCTCGCATTTGACATATATTACATATTCAAATTTCTTGAGAAGAACTTACATGTATGGTGGATATTATCATGACAGTATTCTAAGCCTATCATGCATTGCCATGTCGAAAAGTTGCATTATCATGTCGATACACATAATAATGAGTGATTGACTCATAACAACGTCACAGTGATATCTCGGTATAGATAAGTTTTTCTCAAATTCCTTTTGTATTATATGTTGTGTAATAAGTTGACACATGAAGTTTGGTCTATGCATTAACTGATATCAACAGTACGGCGGGAACCCACATGCAGAAATCAATTTTTACATTTTAGAAACGAGTGTGCATAGTAGATTGTCGATATTTGATTTGATATATTTTGTCAATACTCTGTTAATATTTCGATGTCTTCCTCAATTTAGCAGTTAAAATTAGCTTTGAGGTTAGTTTTGAGATGTTACTTGTTGAATACAATTACGTATCTAATTTTTGAATGAAACCTTGAAGATATTTATGGGATGTGCAGAGATATGAGCAGAACAGAAGAGAGAGTTAGAATTGGCTACTCACAGGACTCACAGCAATATCATAAAACACTGAATAAATGTGGCTAACTTCCAATCTGCAATTCATTTAAAGACGACGGTGATTCTCAAGTCATGGGCACATGCAAAATATGAAGTCTCTGCATTTGGAAGGAAAAAGCAGGCATCACGACCTCTGAGCATATGCATCAATCAAGCACGCCTGTAATGGATAAGAAACCTACTTTGCACATATGATCAAGTACACGCTATATATATTGTGATGGGATTGGATTGGCCAAATAAGGTGACACAAATTAATAATGATAGTGTGCACCTTGACTTGAGATCAAATGTTATATTCTACGCATAGAGCTAGCTACAAAACAAACAATCATCTTATAAGTTATATAGCTAGCTAGGGCTGCTGTTTTAGTGCCACACTTGCATCCCTCGTGCCTTACTTAAGATGATTATACACTGCTAACAAGTTTTGCCCAACTTTTCATTCCTTTCAGGCTCAATGTGGTCCAACTTGGTACAGTTCTCCTTTTTAATACAAGCAATATTAAAGGAGGAAGTGTCGCATTCAACTCATTCTTTTATTTGTTGAAAAATTATATTAAACAGTACTTAGAGCTTTCAGAAGACCCACATTTTGTGCTCAATTTTGCCCTGCTTGCAAGATATGCACACAAAACTACAGTGGATGACAGGTCTTTTGAAGAGTGATACTTTTAAGTTGTTTAAATCTCTCCGTCTGAGTTGCCCTTGGCGAAATCCCATTAGATCTTGACAACCACTACGTTGTCAGCGTTGTCAACAGGAGGAGCTGAGCAATTAAAACTGGAGGGCCGACCACTTATTTTATTTGACTTTCTGACTCGATACACACATGTCTCTCTCAACTCCCAAAAGGAAAAGGCAAAAAAAAGAAAGATAAAAGTTGTTTGTTTTGCATCCCCCAAGCTTATGGCTAGCTAGCTAATATATTGATTAGGACTACAAAAGGCAACCGTCCTTGCTTAATTAATTCCACACAAAGTCAAGATTTCATGTCCACTGCCATTAAATAACAACGCGTATGAGTCATGACTTGTATGACAACTTCTTTCTCCGTTGAACTTGAAATTGCATCTTTTTCAAAGAAACAGAGTTGAACAGAAGCAGTCATTTACTTCTGCTTCTGCGTGCTGCATCCATCCATCACAGAACAGTCTCACAGATGTGAGTGCCTTATTTACTGTAACGTGCCAAAGATTCAACGTTATCCTTTCTGTTTTCTGTTTTGTGCTTCTTATTTTTCATCCTTTCATTTTGCTCCCTCCAGAAAGCCAATGCCCATTTTCGCTATGTCTATGGATTTGCATGGTGTTTTAAATCCATATGTCAACTGGGTTTCAATTCCATAATTTACAGGGCTTCCAGATGGGCCTTGCCCCAACACAAATGAAAGCAGTTTCACGTAATTGCAGCCCAAGAAGCAGTTGCGAGAGAGAGAGAGAGAGAGGCAGCATATCAGAGCAGTGCCCTTGTTATAAGTTATAAAGCAGATGAGTCCCAGCTAGCATCAACAGCCCTGATGATTTTGTCATGCAGGTTGGCTCCAGCGCTAGCAATTACACCTCGATCAAGACCTTCTAAGTATATGCCCTTTGAAAAGTCCAGTGGACGCCCTCCAGCATCTGTAACTACACCACCAGCCTCTTGTATGATAACTACACCAGCTGCATGATCCCAAATCTTCTCCTTGTAGCCAGCCCTTGCAAACTTCATAAAAATCTCGGCATCCCCACGAGCTATGGCCGCGTACTTCACCATGCTGTATACTCGCAATGGCTGCTTCCTGCAAGTAGCCAAAACATGATAATATGATCTCTCTTACAATAAAACTTGTGCATCTAATTTACCACATGACTTTTAGGCTTCAACTTTAACTCAACAACGTCTTTGAATCTATATCGAAATAGCTAATATGGCTCAAGTCCTATAAGATTCCAAATGAGATCAGTAGGATGTAACATATATGGAAAACAGAATGGAACTCAAAAGATATGGTACCTGAGCCCCACACTGTGAGCTAGCCCCGCTGTGAAGGAATGACTTGAATTTGCCTTCTCAACAGGTTCACAGAAGGTTGCCAATGATGGATTATCAATGGAGGACACTCGGACAGGTCTTGCAGAGTTTGGCCACACTAAGTTCTTATTTACATGGAGCAGTGGTTGCATCCAAGCCTCCCCACTACCTCTTCTAGCATAAATCACACAACCTTTGTCCCAAGATTCTGATGTTGATGGGGTCAACTTAGATATAATTCTATGATACCGGTGATGATAGTTGAGCCATTCCTTCCTCATTGGGTAATTAGGACAGCCAAGAACTCCAAGCACAACTTCTCCATCCTCTATTAATGCCAGAGCAATAGCATATTGATCACCTCGCACAAAACCCAATGTGCCATCAACAGGGTCGAGTGCCCAAAATCTCCCAGTAGGCCCTCCAATGGAGTTGCATCGACTGATGGCTTCAAGAACCTCTGTTGTCCCAAGAGCCATTTTCGGACCTTTAAGTCCATAGCGAGGTGCTTCAGCTAGGCATTCATTTACTGTTTTCACCACAGTTTCTAATACTCCACCTGCCTTAGCCTTGGAAAGATTTTGAATATCTTCTTCAGCAACAAGGGACACATTACTGCTCCCAAAAGACTCTGACAGTATCCAGCTCACAGTTGCTTGGACACTCCAATCTGTTTGCATGGTAAATTTCAAGAAAATTAGTCAATCCAATTTCAAATTGCATAACAAAAGAGCAGAGAGGATATCTATTAAACTAGATTCATAGCTTTATTCATTAAAAATTGACTAGACTCCAATAACATGAGGTCATTTGGTCGCACGCTACAGCTTTTCACTCAGTTTTTTGTACCAAGTTTCTTAAGTCATATATTGGAATCCATTCGAAAAATAAACAAGTTTAAAACTCAGTATAAAATAGGGTGCTATATTGTAAGCTATCCCTAGAGAAATGCTCAGAACTATAAACTGGTAACCGTCAGCAACTTCTTAAGATGATGGTACCAAATATTCCATCTTTTTCTGGAACACATCTTTTGACTGCTGAAAGCTAAACTACTACAAATTGTAGAGATGCCTAACGTAAAAAGAAAATTACGTAATGCTTTCCTCAATCAGAAAGTTATGTGGGAGCAGACGAACACCGATTACTAGGAGTCTGAGACAGGACAATAGAAAGATTGTTTCTGAAGGTAGTGCAGAAAGAAAGACATAGGGCTTGAGGTGCCACTATGCTTGGTCCAAAATGTAAATGTGCCTTTCTAGAGATTCCACACTCTAAAAGGCGGAATCAATTCAAGGAATAACATAACACAGAGACTAAGATATAATGACCTTTGCAGATTCTGAGATGAGTTTTGTGCGTTCGGTTCAACATTTTATCATACATTCTGCAACTTAACGGGTGAAGGTGTCATAATAAAATATTAAAGAAAAAAATACTAGAACAAATGCTTGATGCACAAAGGAGGCATCTTTCAAGCACTCTAGGAGACTAGGACTAGCAGCATCATTGTACTTTATCAACATGCTCTAAAGTTGCCACTAGGAAACCACCAAACAGCAGCACAAGTTGATGAAAATGTTTTCTATAATACAATTTCAAAAGCACTTTGAACTAGAAGGAAATTTAATATTATGTCCACAGTTCCATAATTTCCAAAAGAACCAAACTTAAGAATTCAAAGTGAATACGTCATAGGTCAATTGAATAAGAATTCATTTCTTCAAGCCTATCTTTTAGGAAACCCGGAAAGTAAATTGTACAATTACATTCCTTCCAATAGTTCAACGACTGAGTAGGAGTTTTCTTCCATTTAATAATATAATAAATGCCCAAGAAAGGAAATCAAATGAAGAAACATATTCATAATCAAAGGAAGCAAAACAGAGTCTCCAAACAATTTAAAGCAACACAGAACCTTTGTGCCTACACCATACAAATCTGAATCAAACAACCAAATAACCAAAACCAACCAATATTTTTGATGACCCAATTCAGAATAAAAACAAAACAAAAACAAAAAACAACAACAAAAGGGTTACCAAGCAAGGAACAAGAAAGAGTTAGAGATTGAATGACCTGCAACAGTGACAGGGGAATTGTCATCTTTGGATTGAAAGCCATCGCTGGTCTTAGAAATCAAACTGTTTTGAACTCTCTGGCAGAGAGAGCATGCCAATTGCACGGTTCTGACAGCCACATCCAATTCTTGAGAGTAGTTCACAGGTTCTGGGGATGAAAAGCTGAGTTTTTTCTGGTCTTTCATGACAGGGAAGGACTGGGTTTGGTTGAAGCTGGATAGGCAGCAGCCAATGTGGCCTCTTGACATGGCGTTGTGGTGGGTTTTGTTGCCGCGTAAGAAGATAAAGAAGCTTCCTACGTGGTTGGGTATGAAGTTGTTGTGCTTGTCATTCCATTTTCCAAGTCCCAAATTAGGCGAGACTTTTATAGCCATACTTGAAGAATGTAAAGGCATATCATCAAATCAATGAATGAAAGAGAAAGAAGGAAAGAAGGAAAAAAATCTTGCTTTGTGTGAGTTATTGAGTGAGTGTGCGAGTGTGGTTTTCCTATGATTTGGAGTATGTGGGTTTTGGTGACGTTGGAAGGCTTTAAATTAACTAAAGGGGAAAAAAACAAGAGAAAGTGATGGCTTATGCTTCTGGGATCATAATCGGAGAAGGAAGTCACTTTAAATACAAACTTTTATTTTAATTTTATCTCATTTTATCTTCATTTATTTTTCCTTTTGGGTTTTTTTATTTATGCATAAATTTTTTGCTCATGGTTTGAAAAAAACAAAACAACCATTTTAATGGCTATGGTGGGCTGTAGCCTAGGGAAGTATTTAGGAAAGAAAAAATAATCAAGCCTATAAATGAGTTATTTTAAATATAGCCGAGTATGTATTAATTTCATATTAGCAATAAAAACTTGCTTATTGATTTAGATTCAATAATAAAATTTGTTAATTTTATCAAAGATTGCATAACACAACTTGAATAAATACACTTTTAATTCTATTGCTTAACATATTTTAATTTGATAATATGTTTTTTTTTGTCGCATTTAGTATATATTTGTTTTATGTTTTATTGAAAATCGGTCAATAAAATTAGGGAGTTTCACTAAAACACCCAAAATGGAGGTTGAAATTATAAAAAAACCCAACACCCAAAACACTTTATAAACACACCCAAAACCCATCATTACACACACTCAAAACCCATTTATAAACACACCCAAAAAGTTGACTTTGGAGTTGATTTTGGGTGTGTTTCTATGTTTAAATAGTGCGTGGGTTTTTTTATAAATACATGTCTAGGATTGGGTTTATTTATAAATTTGTAATAAAATTATGAACTAACGTGGTTTATGTGATTTAATGTTGCACTTTTATTTATAGAACGATTATAGAAATGGTAAGTACAAAAAAAAAATCATTAGATTTTAAACTAATAACTTTAGCTAGTCCATTCGTTGAAAAATTCATAATTCCGCACAATAACATGAAATTAACACAAAAATAGAAAGTCACAAATAAATAGAATCAGAGTATGGTCACTATGAACTCATGAAGACGTATGCGGCAGATTGAGAAGTGTTAATAGAACCAGAGTATGGTCACTATGAACTCATAAAGACGTATGCGGCATGTTGAGAAGTGTTAATATTAGCACTGGTTATGAGGAGTGGCAATCTGATAAGATTGATCATTACATGTTTGATAGATGACATTAATTTAAGGGGCTGCATTCTCTTTTTCATTTTCAGACCTTTTTTGGTAGGCAAGTGGAAGTTGTGATACTAAAGAAAGAAAGACATGATGTTTATCTTAAAGGGAGAGGCCCCCATAATCATGGATTTCATGATTTCTTTCATCTAGTTTTGGAAACTTGTGCCCTTGATCAAGTGGAATTTGCTTATTATTTTTTTAATGAAAGAAGATGATTATATTTATCATGAACTTTGATTGGTTTACACACACACACACTAACCCTAAGCAAAACTATCTCATGCAATAAAAAGGCCAAGTGTGCCACTTTCTTTGAAAATTTTGAAAGCACTTGGCATTAGATGCCAAAATTGAATCCACAATGGGCTTAGCCTCGTAATCAGCGGAGCAAAACACGTCATTATCATGTTAATCTGGTTTTTCACTGTTAAGTTATGTCGACTGATTTGCTTTGGATTCTTTTCGGCTCAAGTTTGAACTCAACACAACAACATAGCCTTCAACTCAACTTACTTCAGCGTTTCAATAGCATGACGTAGTTTCCCATTTTATTTTAACTTGTGGATACAACATCTCATCTCATCCGCATGTCATTATCGTAAACAAATACACCTTATCTTCCTTGTTCAATGTTGAATTTAAATTTACAAGCAATAACTTTGCGGTTCATGTCTTTGTTTCAATTTTTTCACCCTTTAACTTAACTAGTTGTTTCATGTCAACCCGTTAACTTTACGGATCATGCCAAATCTGATACGAAAAAGACAGAAAAAAAAACAACCTGTAAACTTTGCCAGGTCAAAAGACAAGTTAAGGAATTTATTTCTCTGGGCTTTCAGGTGTGATAGAGGCCTTCATGTGTAGAGCCCTATCAGCCCAATATAGTACTTAAAATATGGGCTTAAGCTCATACGGGAATTGCAGTGTAGCTATTGTTTGGGCCTAGTCTACCCATGCTTTCTAAAAATCCAAACCCAACTCATCGGGGTTTACCCGTTCAATAATTTATATCATTTTTAATTTTCAATTTCTTCTATTTTTATGTAAAGAGCGAAAAATATATAGGAGAAATGAATTTTTGTTTTTATTTTTAAAACGAGTGGAATGAGGAAGGATAGAGAAATCAAGAAGAATTCATAAAAACTTGAGAAGGAAAACCATTTCAAATAGGTTTCAGTTTTTACATTGTATACTGTTCTATTTCATTTCCTTCTTCCTCTCCTTCTTGATTCTCTTCTCCTCTCTCTTTCGTTCTTTCTCCTACATATTTCTCTTCTATCTTTAATTAACTAAAACATGAAAATCGAAAACTAAAAACGATACAATTACTAAAAAGCCCTTCATGAATGATACGCGACCAATGTATTCACAAATTAAGAGATCACTCAGGTGGATGGATGTTGCAGTCAATCCATTTCACATCATGAAAATTGAGTTGGGTTTCCCTTTTTCTTTTCTCCTATCTTATCTTAAAAAAATAAAAAGGTGAAAGCTCAAGCTCCTTTAGTGCTTGAACTTGAAATTTGAATTGGAAGGAACTTGAAATCCATTGCACAATATGATTTCAATTTGTCCTAACATGAAACTCTGAATTGATAACCAGCATCTTATGATAATATCATCGACTTATTATAAGAGATTATCTCTCAAAATAATTTATTAGTTAATCATGTGATTGATTGATTCAGTGTATTTGTATTTCATATAAAATAACCCATTGTAATCACCACCTAATTAATTTTTCATTTAAAAAAAAGGACAAGAAAGCACACAGTTGAACATGATGTTTGTGGTCGTGGTGGAATGCTGACTCCTTTCACCAACATAAACTAATAAACACATGTGATCGATATGCAGCAGCAGCCAGCCACCACACCACTATAATCTATTATATTATACATCATGTGATTCTTATCCTTTAATTTTGTGGACCCCATGCACTTTGATTATTACTTCACTTGCATTATTGTATGTTTATTATAATATATAATAAAAACCGAAATGACTGGATTGCCCATGCCCAACTTTGCAATATATTGAAGTGCAGCATGGCTAATATGGTCATTATAATGAGGAAGAAGCCGAGTGGTACTGGTATATAAGAAAGCTGCTGGCTTGGAAGAAGAGCACTCAGCAAAACCAAGTTGTATTGTATCTCTACGACTTCACAAGACAAAGAAGACGAAGAAGAGAGAGAGAGAGAGAGAGATGGAGGGTGCCACAGCTACTGCCGGGAGAGCAATGATGAACGGTGGAGATTTGTCCAGGAGATTATCTGCCCGTCCGATTCCGAAGAGGGGTCAGGTGAAGATGGGAATTGTGGTGGGATTAGCCAATTCTGTGGCTTCCATCTTTGGTCCTCACCGCCGTCCATCAATGCACAGCCAGTCAAGGAACAACTCCTAGAGTTACTATTCGATTGTTGTTTGTTCATCATGTAATGGATTTTAATGTTTGTACATTGTAGAATTTTCTTCAAATATATATTGAAATGAGAATTTGTTCAATCATTTCATTTGATATTGATACAATATTATTTATTTATTTGGTACCCAGATAGGTATATTGTTCAAAAATTTGGCTGGTATTAAATCTTAAACCCCTAGTTAGAAAAAGAAGCCAGGAATTTGAGACTAAAATTGGAACACAGCATAAAAGACCCACTAATGTAGTGGTTTGGATCAATTGCTCCCTCAAGCAAGGTTTTGAATTTAAATCCTAACATCTGTGTAGTGTATTTGATAGCCCCTATCAATAGAAAAAGTTGTTCAAGAACACCACGAGCAGCAATCGCTTTAAAGAATATAATTTGAATAGCTATAGCCTAGTCAAATAGTGTATAATTCCACTCTTTGGCCTTGAATCTTGATTATGATATGTAAGTGCTTACGTACCCCCATAAGTAGAACATTACCACATGCAAGTAACAATAGCATGGGATTTGATTCGATCAGTACAGTGGTAATGCTGAATTGAAGCTTCACAATCGAAACTAGGGTGCGGCAAAATCACAGAAGAAAAAAGGATCAAACCAGCCATTTGGGGAACTATTTGTGTTTTGCGGTAAAATGATTTGAGCGCTTTATATGAGAATCATTGTGATCAATGATTTATGTAATATTCCACATCGACCAATGGAGTAGAATTCAACGTGAGTTCCCAAAAACAAAACCGTGAGGGCAGAGAGGGGAGCTCAAAACAAACAATATCATGTTACGGTGGAGCCGATGTAGCATTCATGTTTATCTACATATTTTCGTATTTAGATCCGTTGCATGTATTTGTTCACTAAAATTTGATGTGAAAAAAACAAAAAAACCAATCAACCTTATTATAAAACTAAAAGAAAAACAACCATCAATCAACTCCAATATAATAATCCCACTGCATAGATCGAATCTATGCCTATGTAAACACAATCTGACGTAACTAAACACATGTTTGTAGAGATTCTGGGGGCGTACATGAACCAATTCCTTTTCACTATAAGATCCAGTGTATGGTACTAATTAGGGTTATTATACTAATTAATATTCCAACATCTCCTTCCTAGTCTTATCGTTTTCGGAACAAAGTTTCAAATAAAGATCTTCCTAATCAAACCTGTTTGATTTTGTGCACCTTAAATTAATAATTAAAGACAAGCTATGCATGAGGAGACCCGCAACTAAACAGTCACTTGGGTCCTCATAGAAAAGAGAGTGACTTTTAATTTCTCAGTGGGAACAAAATGGCCATGTGATTTTTGTGGACCATAATATAATATTACATAGTTGAAACAAAAACCAAGGATTCATACCTTGGTCCTAGTTTGAAGCTTTACCTTTGATTAATTTAAACCATACTTTAGGTACTAGTTATCATGTTGCATTAAAACAAAACAAAGAAGAAGTTGTCGTGTTCATATTTGCTAGTTTCTTTTGTTGGTCAGAGAACTAAACAGCTGGCAAGGTCAAAGTATTTTTATAATCCCACAGATTAATTCCTTTAATTGTTCAGCATATCAGGTTTTGACTGGAGATTAGTTTAAGCAGGAGAAACACTCGTGTGAAAACACTATTTTGTTATTTTAAGTCAATCACAATATACCACACGTGATAACCTATGATCACCCGAAGATAGCAGACCTTTTGCACACTTTTTCTACAAGAAAGAATTTTGTACAAATGAAAAAGATTTGCATAAAGGGGAGGGGACTGTACTTGTTCCATTTAAAATCAGACACAAACACTGACAATACAAAATACTGCAAATGAAGAAGGGTTCCCTCTATAATTGCAGACAGTTACTAGAATAAATAATAGGTTCAATTTTCAGCCTTAATCTTGTCGATAATCCAAATTATTAGAACTAATCTGTTCCGTTTGAACACAATCTGTCATCATTAAAATATATTTGTGTCCACTGTCTAGTAGTGAGTTTAGGTTAGATGAAATGCAATGAACGAAGCTCCTTCTTCCCACTATCAGATCAGATTCGGTGAATGAAAATAACATAATCCCATATTTAAATTAGCAGTTGAACAAAAAAATGAAAAAGGTTTGGCGTTAGGTAGCATGGGAGCGGCGGGCCCACTTCCTTGGCTCTTGAGAAAAAGAAGAGCTGCAGACAAAAGGTGCCGTGGGTGGGGGCATATGCTTTTTCAGTCAAAACTTTGATGATGGGAATCAAATGGCCACGTGAGTTTTATGCAGACGTTTCTTAATCTTTTTCTAGTAGTGAGGTGGTGACGTGAAAATGAAATGAGACTGACTTTTCAAGGTCAAGTCGTCGAGAAGATAAGCTATTTGGGTTATGAATTCAAGGGAGCTTTAAGCTTTTTTAATGGAAAACCGACACAAGAAACCGCTGAAGGTGAAGTATGAACGCGAACTTCGGAGGTCAAAATTGTCTTTCATCAAACCCTTACAGTCAAATTCTACCAGCAAACATTATCATATGATTATGCAGCATCCGTATCTAACGCACCAACCCAAAAATATATTAAATTTAAAAAAAAGAAAAAAACAAAAGAGCCTTCTTTGCCAGTGCTATATAAACCACACGAGGAAGAAAACCCAAATCACAAAACGTACTCACAGCTCAAAAGTTTCAAGCTTTCAAAATTCCATAGCCATTTCTTCTGTCTTGCTTTGAGAAAGACTGACCCTTTTGATCCCATAAGATAATCAGAAGCAAACAAGAGATGGAGGGTGCAAGGTGTGCTATGATCAACGGTGGGAATTTCTCTCAGAGCTTTAATTCCGGCCGTCTGATCCCAAAGAGGGGCCAGGTCAAGGTGGCTATTGTTGGGGTTCTGCTCCACTCTTTCTCTTCCATATTCTCTGCCAGTAGCCGCCGCCGTGGTGGTGATGCTCATCACTTCTCTTAGCTGCTGATGATGTTCTGAATCCAGTTTTCGGTGAAATTAAAGATTTTTATGAGTGAGAGGAAGGGAAGGGTACAAATTTTAAGCTCTTGTCTTGGTTTTTTTTGTATTTTTTGCAACAAAGGCTGTACAAATTTTGTAGTTTAAAGAATATATCCAGTGGAATATGCTTTGTTTTTACTATTGGGTCCTTTTTCTTAATTCTATCGCCAATTGCTGTTTTGCTTCTTGAGCGTGTGTCTGGAATTTCAGCCTATACTTTGAATATCAAAGACAAGGGTTTCATAACAGACTCCAGTTAGCAAAGATCATCTTTAAATTGAACCAAAATTTGAACCCAACTCAACAAATTGAGAGAAAAGCAGAGACTAAATCCAGCTCAAGGTCTAAAGCCTCTTTAACATATGTAACCATAAATAATATGGCAAATGACAGTGTTGTGTTGTACAAATGATATCAACCTATTCTTGAGTTGTCTCTGCCAAAGACAATCGTGGTAGCCCAGTTTACTGCAACATAAAACCTGTTCCTCCAGCTGACGACTCGCGTCAGATAAGCGGAACGCCAAATGAACCAGCTCAAGAATCCGGCAAGCGATATGCCTTTTGCATCCTGCCAAAAAACATGCTCAAGAGATTAAGGCAAATGCTTTGATTGTAAATCACATTTGCCTTTATGATAAAAGGTTGAAAAGCGCCTACCTTCGACTGGCGTAAATCAACCAGTGCCTTATAGCGTCCAACTGTTGCCATGCTTCCAAGGTGCTTGTACACAAAAGGCTCTCCTAGAGGGATGTCTTTTAAGCTCAAGGCCTTGCCTGCATTCCGTGCCCCAATCTTGTTAAACAACTCGACCAGATATTTTCCCTCCCTTTCCGCCACCTATTTGAAACATCGTCAAATGAGTTAGTTTAAGAAACAAGAGAATGCATGATATATGACAGGCTTGACAGCAATGTATAGTTTCTAGGGAACAAAAACCTGAGCTAAAGCTGGAAGAACTGGCCTCCCTGTCTGCTCAAGAAAACCAGCGCAATCTCCAAGTGCAAACACATCTTCCACGGAAGGAACCCGCAACCACCCGTCGACACCAATCCTGTATTACTCCAAAGAGCTGATTTTAGGTTCTTAATACATTGAACAGAAGGAAGAATCAACCAAAGAAATGCAGGTGCATTTACCTTCCGCCTGCGGACTTGGGAAGATCAAGTGATTTCACAAACTCTGAAGGACCAACGCCTGTAGACCAGACCAAAAGGCCATATGGAACATCAGTGCCATCGTTGAGAACTATCTTCTCGGGATGCACTTCTTTCACAACACCTCTCATAAGGCGAACCCCACACTGATGCAAAAGTTTACATTTCAAATTAATCTTGAACTGACAAGAAATAGCCTCCAGAATGTTAGAAGGCAAATCAACTTACCTTGGTTAAGTGATTTGTTGCATATCGCCTTAACCCAACATCGAAGGATGACAAAATCTCATTTGCCTGTTAAAAATAATACAGAAAAAAACAATCATTGGTTTCATAGTTCATCTCCACAGAAATCCAATGCATAAATATAGAAGACAATTACAAATGAGTACCTCAATGAGAGTGACTTTGATGTAATCCTTAACATGAGTATACCGTTCACGGACATCTTTCATGATAAAATCACTCAGCTCGCCACTGAACTCTACCCCTGTAGGGCCACCTCCAATAACAACACAATGTAGGAGGCGTTTCCTTTCTTCCTCTGGTATTCCTGCAAATTAAAATGGATAAGATGTTTGAGAGAGGAATTCCAATTCTAGGCAATTGTCTTGCACTCATCCTTCAGAGAGCAAAACATAGTTTTCAAATATCTATTATCCTCTGAGAGACATATAACACTCACCTGGATGTTCAGAGAGCATCAGGTTCAAGAGAAGCTTCTTCCTAATCTCTTGGGCATGATTCACTTCACGGAGAAAAAATGCATGTTCCTTCACACCCTTGATACCAAATGTCAGGGGCTCAGCTCCAGCAGCTATGACGAGCTTGTCATAGGCAACTTTGAATCTGTAAGGTTCATGAGGCAAGCCACCCTTGCTAATCGTCTCACAGTACACCTAATACGAAAGAAGAAGATTAACTCTTCTGTTGCTTTGACTTCAAAATGGTACGTTATTGCAGTACCCTACCAATATCATCTTAATGAATTTAGGTAGGAACTGATCTTGCATCACATGCTATGGCATTGCATATATTACCCTTAAACGAAAATAATTGATAAAATTTATGTTGAACAGAAAAAGAAGGAAAAGAAATTGTCAGAGAGGATTTAGTTACCTCATGTTTGTCTGTGTCAACACCAACGCAGGAAGCCATATAAAAGAAAGAATTGGGATCTGTTGCCAATGCAGATTGTATATGAGTAACAGGTTCAGCGACTGAACGGAATTCCAGGGTACCAACGCAAGTTGAAGCAAGCAAAGGAGTGAAGACCATGTGATTCCTTGGTGATATGCAAACAACATCATAGATCTTGGTGTCTAGTCCCTTAAGGAATCGACAGGCCGCCCAGCCAGTACCAAGGACAACCACTCTTGGCTTTTGACCTGGCTTGGTTGCTTCTAGACCCGGATATTTGGGATCGTTGTACTCAGAATCAGACTCCTCAACAATCCTTTCTGCAGAAGGAAATTGATAAGTTGGGGTTGCCCTTATTCCCCTGCTCCAAAAACTATTGTGATTCACTTTTGAAATGCTGGAGAGGTACAAAAAGTTTCTATTTCTAGTGTCAGTTTCGAGTGAAGGTAAGGAACAATATTTGCGTGTGGATGCTCCCTCACACAACATATCCTTCTCACTCGTGCGGGCGGATGCTCCTGATGGCGACCTTCTGAAGCCATTTCTAGCAGTCCTAGCAATCCTTTCTAATGCCATGCTGGGGTCGAGTACCAGTCCCTGAAGCAAGACACAAAGTACCCTTTGAACCCTCTAAAGAGAACCAAATTGGTGCTTGATCAACCTGTTGAAATTGAACCAAGGAAGGTGGAGGAAGTGAGTTATGAAACTTGCTACCACTGTAGGAGAAACATTTGAAGACAGAAATATTTATAGGCAGCTGAATTGACCACTCCAAACAGGTGGAGAGGTGATGACAACAGGTAGGACAATTAGAGCTACACTCCAATCAAAGCAGGTAAGATTATTGACACATGACAACGATAGTGTCCAAGATACTAGTTGACTAGAAAACAAAAAACAGCTTAGCTTGCTAATCAGCTGATGGCAGAAACAAAGAGAAAGCTTTTGTAAATTTAGGAGCAAAAAAAAAAAACATAAAGAACAGCAGCTTATTACTTATGCATTGCCTGCACAAATTAACATTTAATACGTAACTGGCACATCCAAGGCAGATAACTCTTCCATGTTAAAAGAAAAAAATTCATGACCGCTCAATTCTGCCAAATATTTCTTTATCGACAATCCCAACCTCCAGATTCATGAACTTTTCGATTGAATAATTAAGGTAAACATACTGGATGGCATCAAGCAACAAAGCTACTCGTAAACAGAACAACTCTGTTTTATATGCAAAGATCAGCATGAAAAGGCACCAAAAATTAGACCCAAAAGGCGAAAAATAAAAACTTTCAAGTTCAAAAATCAAACTCAAATGTAATACTAATTCATCGACATTTTAATAAGCAGATCCTATTAAAAAAACAAAGAAACAAAAAAAAAAGGTTTATACATTAGAAAAAAAGAACAAAACTACAGCCAAGAGGATTGAGAAACACAGCAAATACGAAATCTTTGACAGCAGTGATCTTTATGAAGCATAAGGTTGAAGAACATTACTGTATTGGAGCGATGAATCAGTGAAAGTTTTTTGCTTTAGAATACAGAGGCCGTGCGTATGTGGTATATGATCCAAGATTGTTGGAGCAGCTTCTTAGGACAAAAGCGAAAGGGTTTCCATGTCTGTTGTTAATGAATTATCACAAAATCTAAATGGCGATCTATAAAATAAATATGAGAAGCGAACAAATGGAGGCCAGAGGGAGTTGAAAAGGCGCCGACTTGGGGCGCAAGGAAGTTTGTTGAGATTTCAGAGGTACATATTATAAAATAGTAAACATCAGAAGACTGGAAAAATAAATAAAAGGTCTGAATGTTGGTTCGAGGAAGGAGGCAGATACACAAACATACAGAGACACGGGAAGAGGAAAGAGTGCTACTGTGTGTAGTTTGGCATTTCGTACGGCGAACGTGTTTTGGTGTCGTTTTGTTTGGTCAAGGTTTTGGACTAATGGAGGTCCTCCTTCAGTTGGTCCCACTCCCATGAACCATCAGATCCTATAAACCCCAAACCCTAGCACTTAGTCAGTGGTAAAGACAAGAGACACGGTCAGACAAAGTTTGAGGTTGGCGTGTGAATTGTCTTGTATTCCACGATATCGGGGTCGTCCTTTGATTGTTTCTTTCCTCTTTCCTTTTTGTGGTGTCAAATGGGGTGTCAAATGCCTGGCAATGGCGAGGCCCAAAACCATTACTTTTTTGGCCCATGAATATGAGCTTAATTTTGTTTTTGTTTTTTTTATTAGTTACTGTCCATTCTCAATTAAAGAAGAAATATATAATAAAAAACCTGGCTGTCAAAGTTTGAGAACAGTATTGTTATTTCATTAAAAAGTTGAGCAAACTTACAAGGGTTGGAAAAAAAATGTTATCTTTTTTATTAGGGATCCGTAACACTACATTACTATATCAACACGACAAGTGATGTTACAAAATAATTTTTACACATAATTTATAAATTAGGAATGAAGTGAAATAACAATTTTCTAAAGCACAATTTGGTGCATGGGTTTAGGTTCATGCTTGAATTTGGTGTAAGTTGTAGTTGATGATGGCATTGGCTTGTATTGTATAGTTAGGTTAGGTGGGTGAACGTGATGCTTCATCACCAACTTGTGTTTCTTGAGAAGAGAAGACGCGATTGAGGATGGCAGCTAAGCGGACTCCACCTTGAGCAATCCTCTTCTCCACAACAGGTAGCCGAGGAAGAAAGTAATCATCTAAAATATTCAATCACATAATTAATTAATTAACAAGGAAATTGGATCAAAATTCCAAAATCATGCTTGTTCTTGCTGTTGGGTCTTTTACTTTGGCATTTTCAATATTCTGCCAATTTCGTACTGAAGTTTGGAAGTGACAGTAAAATGTGTTTGCCAAGTATATATACCTGTTAGAGTATCACCCTTCTCGACGTCCTTGTAACCCCACTTGCAAGCTATGTTTATACTCTCTGTAGCATACCTATGTACGTAACAAGGTATTCAATACTAATATCGACAACGAAAATATCAAAGGTATGTATGCATCGTACGTATGTACACGTGTGTGTACATGTGTGTATGAGAGAGAGAGAGAGAGAGAGAGAGAGAGAGAGAGAGAGCTTACTTGTTCACACATGAATGGTGATCATCACAATGTTGCCATGATGTAACATCATCAGACCAGATTCCCTGTTTGCGTAGTATACATAATGAATTAATATATAATTTAGCTCAAGTTATTTAATAATTCATTCATATTTTGCCAAGCATCCCCCAATCTCATATAGTTACGTTAATAAACATTGGTCCTTACATCTGTGATGTTTCCCTGTATGTCTTGTAGGAGGAGTTCCATGTCCTTGTCATAATAGTCCTTCAGGGCTTGCAATAGAATCTCCCTATCCCATACCTGCGGAAACAAGAAATTTCTGTTCTTAATTTTTAAACAAGACGAAAAGGTTAACACAACATACATTGTTTTTTGACTGGTAGTAATCCAATCCGACATAACTCATTAAAAAAAGAAGTATTTTCTCTTCCTGTCAAATTATGTTGCTTGGCTTCTCAAACCCTTTTTGTTTCTCTGGCAACCGTGTCTGTCTATTTAAAAGGTCTATGTAGCTACAAGTAAAAGGGCTTACATGGTGGAGATTTGATTTGTGTCTGAACCAACGCAATTCTATTGTGTTTCCTCCCTCATCTGTCGTGAATCCAACGTGCATTGGCTGCCAAAATATACACAAGAAGATGATCAGAATATTAAAACTAAAAAAGAAATCCTTAATAAGTTCAATCCAAAGAGAGCTGCAGAAGAACGTCAAATTTTGGAATTGGCCACATACCTGATGGATATCTCCCATGAAGTGTGACAAGAAAAGCAAGGCCTCAGTCATATTATCTGCAAAGAGTCCAAGGCAAACAAACCATGGTGTTGTTGTTTGTCGTGCAAGCAAGAAATTAGCCATTGACAAAACCTAAAGCAATGGAATCAATCTGCACATATAATAAAATCGGGGTTCCTTACATCGACGGTCAGAGGTTCCTTCTGTGTAGTGTGAAAGCTGAGAGGTGAAATTTTGGATGGCACCAGCAACACACATGTTCTTCAAGCCATGTGTATCATGACAGTCCCCTATTATCCCAAATTAAAGTAAACATGGCACAATTAATAATGTTGCAATTCTGCTAATTGATTAAAAAGTACTAAACAGGCATGGTATATATTTATAAAGCTTACTTGAGTAGTCAAAGTTGCAAGCATTATCAGGTGTGTCAATGAAGTGAAGTGGGCTAGTCCACCGGTATCTGTACCAATGCCTGATTTGGTCTGGCCATACGCACAGAGCGGACAAGTCGCCATCCACGTCGTGAGGTAGTAAATTTCTAACGGCTTCTGCTGCTTCAGGCTCTAGAAGTGCCTGCAGTTTAACAATAATTAGTCAATGATTTTTATAAGGATTGAGATCCTATCGAAACTCAAAAATCTAGGACATACAAAGGACGGTGTAGGTCCGAATTTGAATTTTCATTAAGGTTTCCATTCATTCAAAAACCCATCTGACTTGGATTGGATGATCAAATCAAACCCAAAAATTAAAAATTAAAAAATTGAAGAGTGAAAAGTGTTGAGACGTGTAAACTACTTGGAGTGATTGCATTTACATTTTATTAATGGACATGATTTTAAACTAGATGGAATTTTGGGCAATTCATTTCAATAGTTCCACAATCATTATGTTGCTCAAACAGAACAGGACCTACTTCCCACTTCCCAGAGTGATGGAATTTGGGTTTACCTGCGCAATCCGGCATGTCATAATATGACCCTCTTTGCTCCATCCTCGAGCTCTTGGAACTATAATGCAAACAAACGCTAGCAACAAAACAAACCCATTAAGGGAAAATCCCCCGAAGCATCTATACCTGTCCATCTTAATTTCTATCTGCTGAGAAAAAAACCAACTAATTTGTTCCTCAATATGATGACACAATACTGATAATTTATAGGCCCGACAGAGGGACTTGGTTGCTTATATTTACAAGTCATTCAAGTTATTCAATGAGTACAAGTTTGGTCTTCCAACTATTTTAAGTACCCCAAACCAAAAGTCAGTCTTTGATTGATTCTTTAACACAAGCCAGATGGGGTGAGGTGTTGGGCATATTCTGGCATATTAGGGGCATCATCAACATATTAGGAATACATTAAGACTTCACTAATTAGATACATGAGGGAGGTCTTGCGTATGGGGAACTTGCCGCTTTTAAGCAACAATGGTGGGCCCCACTATAGGTGATCTTCCAAAGATGCATCCCGATCCTCTATCCTCTACCTTCATGCTTCAGCAATTTTTGCTTCAGAAGAGAAAACACGATTGAGGGTAGCAGCCAGGCGGACCCCACTTTGAGCTATCCTCTTCTCCACAAAAGGTAGCCGAGAAAGGAAGTAATCATCTAAACAAGAAGATAAAACAAAAAACTATATGAGAATATACTAGCATCAAAACAAAATGTTCCAAGTCCATGTGATGTGATGGAGTTAGAGATAGAAAAAAAATCATAAATGTGATTATATAAATATTTCTAGGACAAGCAATTATGCAGGTAGGTTGTCATTGCTGCAACAGTCAGCTAGAGGGAACCAATACAAATGCAAATAGCCTGGAGGGATATCGTTTTCATTTTAAGAAAATGATTCTTAAGTTAGACCTAGATATCAAACATTTTCACACCTTTAATTCCGTTACGTTGTCTATTGGTATATATGAAAGAGAAAACGAAAACATTAAATGGACAATCCTTGCATACCTGTTAGTGTGCTTCCTGGTGTGGCATTTCTGTAAGCATATTTGCATGCCAACCTAATGCTTTCAGAAGCATATCTGCATGACCAAAAACAAGTTAAATCATATATACACGAGGTATTAAGCATTGGAGGAACTAAAACGAACATGTACATACTCATTTGGACATACAGTCTGATTATTTAAACAATTCTGCCATTCTGATATATCATTGGACCAGCCATCCTGCAAATAAAAAGAAAAGCAAATGAGTATCGCATTGCTGCACAGGGATGTGTACTCTTGTGAGGACAAAAGCACAAAAAAATCTTATAACAAACTCAAAAAACAATAAAATATGAACTTCATACCGTAATATTACTTTCAATGGCCTTTATCATGATTGCAAGATCTTTACTATAGAATGTCTTTACAGCAGATTCAATGATCATATTATCCCAGACCTAGAACAACACCATTTTTACAGAGTCAAAAGCTTGAACACAAACAACAAATATGCCATCTTTTCCCGTTCCAAAACCTCTCACATCTGACTGTTGCTTTGCACAATCATTCTTGTCAACAACCAAAAAAAAAAAAAAAAAAAAAAAAAAAAAAAGCCAGAAAAAAAAAGAGGGAGGGACGTGGGAAATAAAGGGGAGATAATAATATAATCATTCATTTAGGTCCATGACGATGGGGTTTACTATGGAATTAAGACATACATGGTGGAGATTCGTCTTCCTGCGATACCATCGGACTATTATTGTGTTCCCGCCTGCATCTCCGGTGAAGCCAACATGTAGGGGCTGTCAACACCAAACATGAATTTCTTAAAGAAAATGAAAATGAAAATTTCTCTTTTAAAATATGCACAAATCTAATCTAGTCTAAACCATTCAGATAGTGTCTTTCATTAATTTACACCACTTCATCAAGAAAATTTGAGATGCCACTGCATGGTTTACTCTTTTTCTAAGGCGGTTAAAGTTACCAGTGTGAAAAGAAAACCTGATGGACATCCCCAATAAAATGAGCCAAGAACATAAGTGCTTCAGTTAAGTTGTCTGTCATAAAAAAATGAGGGAAATTGATATTTAGGAATAGTTATATGTTAGAATGGGCAAGCCTCAACATCCAATAAATATGGGTGCTTACACTTTGATTCTGAGATGGAGTCATGATAAGCTGAAAAGAGTTGCATTGTATAGTTGTAAATTGCTCCGGTCACACATCTATCATTATGTCCAGCAGGGTCATGACAGTCTCCTATCAGACAGGGGTAATAACATTATCGTTCATCTTGAGAATTAAGTCAAAGAAAGAAGCCATGCAAAACAGACTATGAATTAAACTGAGCAGTTGCAGATCATGAACAGATGCATGATCCAGCAGGCACAAGCTGCTGAAATAATTACATAGGCTAATGTCAAGAAAGTATCAGACCTAATACTATCAAGATAGCACCACTAAATCACTGAAAAACTAGCTACTCACTGCAATATTTGTAGTTACACAAAAAATCTGGTGTGTCAACATAATGTAAAGCACTACTCCACCGCAAATGGTATCGAATCTCATCAGGCCAGGAACAAACTTCAGCAAGATCACCCGCGGCAGACGCTGGAAGCAATTCTTTTACTGCAGCCAGAGCATCTTTACTCAGAAAGCCCTGTATCAAACAAATGTTGAAGATTCAGAACCCATCTTACCACCATCGTCAAAATTACAATATAAACACAAAAATGAGGTGACATGGACAAAACCCCATCCTTTATCTTCATCAGCACTTCAAACACATTTTCGGACCAAAATGAAGCTAAAATGATGAGTTGCATATAAATTATGCAACTAGTCTGACGATGCGCTCTCCCAATTTTCATATCCATCATATCAATCCACTCTTTTCTCTACTAGAGCCATATTTTTATCGACCAATTAATTTTATAGACAAAATATTTACAAATACCAGCAAGCTTGCATCACTTCTAGTTATGCATTTTCATGTTGGGTTGGTAAGAATAAAATCTAATTCCTCATGACTAAATATGCCGACTCACCTCTGCTATCTTGCAAATTGCGAAGTGGCCTTCTTTGCCCCAACCCAGAATTCCTGGCACCAACAGCAGAGACCCAAGCACCCTCCAAGTCCACCATAGTCCAGGCCCAGCCATTACTGTCAATAACACTGCTAAATATTCCCAGCAGAAATTAAGCTAGAAAGCACTCAAATTTCCCCCAGGAAATCAGTAACCCAATTTTTGGCAGCTGAGAAAATGTAAGACCAAAACCCAACAAGTCATTCGGGTTTGAATTGGAACTAAAAGGCTGGTGGGTCCTTCCCCCAGAAACCAAACAAAGAGGAAAGAACCTAAACCACAAATGGATTTTGTGTTTGATAAATGACCACGACCTGTCGTTTATGGCTTCCCAGAGACGAATTCAACGACATATCGTTTGTTTCACCGCTTAGTATAAGTTACTGTGTTCTGCTGCGAACGAGCAAGTGAAGTCGGTCTTCTTCTTCAGTGGAAAAGCTCAAAAGTTGAATCTTTGATGATGAAGGCCGTAGTCGTAACAACTCCAGGTGGACCAGAGGTCCTCAAGCTACAAGAAGTTGCAGACCCAGAACTCAAAGAAGATGAAGTCCTGATCAAAGTCGCGGCCACGGCGCTGAACCGAGCAGACACGTTGCAGAGGAAAGGGGCGTACCCGCCACCCCCGGGTTCCAGCCCTTACCTGGGTCTCGAATGTTCTGGAACCATCGAGGCCGTTGGGGAACACGTCTCACGCTGGCAAGTCGGTGATCGGGTAATACGGAATTTGGAATTTTTATTTTATTTTATGTTGTGTTTTCTTGCTGAGAAAATGGTGGAAAGTAGAAGGAAAATGGGTGTTATGATCATTCGGTGTGCAAAGATGAAAAGAAAGGAATTTGGGAATATAGTGTTGCCAATGGAGTTGGTGGTTTATATATAATATACCATTAAAATCAAAGCTTTTATTATCCCATTCACGTTCATGAGCTGAAACTATGGGTTCACCAGGGGTTCTTGTGTAATGGGACTCTTTAGTGGCTCCAAATGAAAAATAAATCATATAAGGATCTTAAATTGGTGTAATCACAATTTGAATATGCTTCAATAGTGCTTGGTTAGTAAAAGGTAATGGATTAATATCCCAGTTCGCTTATAAAAAACTTTCGATGGAATGAGTTAAGCCTAGTAAAAGCACTGCTTTTTACCACAGCCCTTTGTTCCATTCTGTCAGTGAAACCGGATTTGAGACTTTGTTTCCCCACAAAGGGTTTCTGTCACATACTTGAACTGTATCAATTTGTGTTGTGCAGGTGTGTGCTCTTCTTAGTGGAGGAGGGTATGCTGAGAAGGTGGCCGTTCCAGCTGGACAAGTTTTTCCTGTCCCGCCAGGTATTTCTTTGAAGGATGCTGCTAGCTTTCCTGAGGTGGCATGCACTGTTTGGTCGACTGTTTTTATGATGAGTCGGCTATCTGCCGGTGAAACGTTTTTGGTAACTTCTGAACCTACTATAGTATTCTCCTATTTGGTCGTTTGAATGAAAATGCTGTAATGGTTGTAGGTCCAAAATAGCTTTGGTGGCTTTTTTTATTTTGTTGTTTAAATGTCAAGTGCTTCCATTTATTTTCATGAAGATTTGTGGAAAATGTTATCAGAAATAAATTTTCTATCATATCTATATGTTTAGGTTGGTATTATTGCACTTTTTTGTGAATACTATCACAAATTATGCTCTGGGCATAACATAATTGATAAAGTCAATTCCTTTCTTTGTCTCTGATGCTAGCTTTATATATCACTGAATGACTGCCAAAATTTCAGGTTCATGGGGGCTCCAGTGGAATTGGTACATTTGCAATTCAGATAGCCAAATACCAGGGAGTAAGGGTGTTTGTCACAGCAGGTAAGCCGCAATTATTCTTTTATGGCATAAAAATCATTTTTTTTTCCTTCGTAATTATCGATATGGATCTTGATCACCAGGAAGTGAGGAAAAGTTAGCTGTTTGCAAGGAGCTTGGAGCTGATGTGTGCATCAATTACAAGACCGAGGACTTTGTTGCACGGGTAAAGGAAGAAACAGGTGGCAAAGGTTTGTTCTCTTGTATCAACACTCCATTGATGTTAGAAATTAGGATTAATTTTTATTTTCAGTTACTGTCGGAGGAGAAAAACATGTTGATATATAACTAATGACAGGTGTTGATGTTATCTTGGATAGCATTGGGGCAAGCTACTTTCGGCGGAACCTTGACAGCTTAAATTTTGATGGGAGACTTTTTGTCATTGGGATGTTGGGTGGTGCTGTTACAGAAATAGATCTCCGTGTTGTGCTTTCGAGGCGTCTCACCATCCAAGGTAGTAGAATTTATAGTAGGTTTCTAGTTCCATAGGTTTGAACTTTGGAGTTGGGTGGATTTGGCCTTGCAATGATTCATAACTTAGTGACATCGTTTTCCCTCCCTTTTTACAAAGAGTTGTTGAGCTTTGTTTGATATAAGAATGTTTTTGGTATATCCTTATGTCATATGGTGGTTGTGTATGCAGCGGCTGGCTTGCGGTACAGAAGTCCAGAAAACAAAGCGGAAATTGCTAGAGAGGTGGAGAACAATGTGTGGCCTGCAATTGTTGCCGGCAGGGTGAAAACTGTGATCTACAAGTCTTTTCCACTATCTGAGGCAGCAGAAGCTCACCGGCTCATGGAAAGCAGCCAGCATATTGGAAAGATACTGCTTGTTGCGTGATGATATATGAATGTTAACTGTAATAAAATGTAATAATCAAGTGAATAATTCAGACCTCATTAGGTTGGTCGGGTCTAGGATGATGCTGAGTGTGCATATATTTAATATTGTGGTATGGCGATGATGCTTATGTTGTACTCTTGTATTATGAGAATAAATTACTACACGATCATTCAGTTTTCAATTTGCCACTTCGTGCCCTTCCCGGAATTCATGCAAAATTGATTAATCTTAATCAATAATAATGTGCCCTTAATCGGCCTCCAGGGTTATCAAAGTGAAAATGTTCCCAGAATTAATGCAATATTGATTCACCTTAATCAAAATGGTGGGTTTTCAAGTCAAGTAATTCATAATTTTTGTGCACTTGCCTAGTGTAATATCCATGTCAAATAACATCTTCGCAAGTAAAGGGCCAAAAAGATCACTAGATACGTCATCAGCAGCACTATAGTGCATCGTGCCAACCTATCTATCCATTCAAGTCTCGTGGTTTGGTGTAAACAAGTGGAACTTTCAATCACTGCAAAGAGCTTCAACAGCTAAACATTTTAGCACTCCAGGACAAGGATCACCCAAGGTTGCTGTGGAGATGGGGATTGAACATCTTTCTTGGCCAAGGCAAGCCTGCAAGTCCATTGAAATTAAATCCAGCTTATCGTACAAGAAAACCTCATGTTTTTTTAGAGGACATTCTAGTTTAAGGACCTCTAACTCCAAATTGAATCAGAACCTGGGTTACTGGTTCCACATTATAATATGAAGAAGCTGAGGTTTCTCTTACCTGCTGAACAATTGATAAGATGTCGGCATTACAAGCTCCCAAAGCGAATGTGCCACATTTTCCAATAGGAGTTCCAAAGCTAGCGAAATTGATTGAAGTGATGTGCCATCCTCGTTCACAGGTCAGTTGAACCTCAGGGTTTTGAGATATGAATTCCGAGTTTGGTTTCCAGGAATCGGCAGGCGGAGGATCAGTCTCTGATACATGTGCACATATCTCTTGGCCAGTTTTTGTCCTCAAAGAAATCTTAGAAGGGTCACCACCAAGCTCTTCATGGAGAACTAGAAGGTTCTCTCCAATATGTACCCATGTACGGGGAATATGGTACCTAAAAATTATATACAATGTATTTGATTTTAATATGATCATATCACTTTTGGTGCATCACTATGCAGGACAACATAAATGAACAAAACCAGCAATGCATTCACTCTTACAGAGTTTGAGCTGGTTGACCACAGTTCTTTAGACATTTCGATGGATCGTAGGCTCCTCTGTAGTCACAATCACTGCCATTGGTGCAACCAGATGATGGTGAGAGGTAGGCAGGCCAATATCTCCCTATGCTCTGCCCATTAACCCATGCTTGTCCCTTTCCCATGCTAGCAAGATTTAATCCCAAAGGACCCTTTCCTTCAGGAGCAAGGAATGCAACCTGAGGATGAGAAGAACATCAATCGAAGAAAGCAAAATGAAAAGAAAACATTGACCAAGCATGCAAACTGCTTACCTTGTACCATATCAAACTCTGATTAACTGGTGGAGCTGCTCCTGTAGTCCAGATTGAACTGTTTGCAAGATTTATGTTATCCAAGTCAAGGTCTTCCCCTTCAAGTCCCACCTTAAGATAAGGATATATCAAATATGGGCTTGTGAGATCAAGATTATGCCTATAAATTGTGCTTATGTGTATGTATAAATATAGCAATCATAAATCACGCCAGTCAGCTAACTCAATTTCAATTTTGAACCAATGTCACCGCTGTGAAGAAAATGCTCTAACCTGGTAGGTCCATTCTTCAAAAGAAAGATCATTTGTGTCGTTCTTTAAGTCACGAAGAGCAACATAAAAGATTCCTGCTCCTGCAACATCGAACCACGGTCCATAGTTCTGAAAATTACAGAAGGAGTTTATATCAAGAGGCCATGAGCATGTTAAGGTGGATGGCTCTTTTTTAATTAATATTAAAGGAAAATCCACATGAAAATTAGCGCCAAACAGTATTATGTACCTGTACACCAATCATCATACTCAACAGATCTATGGTATTATTTCCATGGTTTAGAGTAATCTTCTCATCTAGGATGAAGCTTGCATCTTCATGGTTACCGTATCCAAATCCTTCAAGATAACAATATAAAATGTTCGTTTAGATGCACAAAGGCTAAACTTCTGAATACATAGGGATTCAAGAGTTAGCTGATCAGTTTTTTACTTCTCTGCATTCAATAGAGTACCCACCTACAAGTCTTTTGTTTACGAAAACAAGTGCTGCATGCCCCAGGCTCTCAATATGCAGAAAAAGTTCTTTCTCTTGACCAGGTATGTTGTTTTCTTTCACATTAATACTGCCAGTATGGTGTAGCACATTCAAGAAGATGTCAGAAATTGAATAGGATTAAAAATAACTAGCATACAAGTATGCTAAGGATTTCTAATATATCCGTTTGATGAGCACAGAAATGCACTGGATTGACTGTAAAAATTATCAAAACTGGATTATTACCTTATTGTATACCATAAATAATCACTAGTATCTTTTGTTGTAGTTATCTGCTCCAGTAAGCCTGAGTTCATAAACGAATTGTTGCTCCAAATACCGACTCTTTCTTTATACCAACTCCATGAAGATGGTTCCAATATAAAATCATTTACACTGGTTGTGGCCGAAAAAGAAGAATCTCCAAGAGTTCTTTGTGAGACAACCTTCAATTGTGACACATTGTTGCGAGGAAAATATCATCAACATAAGAGCTAATAAAGACATGAGCATAGACCTTACAAAAACTATTTATTTTCTCTCTTCTTCTCTCTCCTCTTCCTTAACTACCAAAATCCTAACAGGTTCAAGAGATTCTGTAACATTTTCTTTCTGTGCTATAAAAAGTAGTTAGTCCCAATTGACCCAGTTTGAATGAAATACTAAATTACAATAGGATATGTACCTTTGCAGTATTAAATAAAACATTTTTACAATCGGGAAGGATGCTCACGGACCAAGCTGGAAGGAAATAGATATTTCCATTAAAAGTGACATTTGCATCTAAGCTACTGCCATAATTAGCAAGAAAGGCTGCACACTCATTAGAACTTTTATAGTAGACATGTGCCTGATGAAGAAAGGAAAAACCAAAGTGAGGATGGAGTAAGAGATATGAGCATGAGAAAATAATGGTGAAAACTGATCATCAAAGACAATTGATTTAAGTCTGGAAAATTTATTGAAGAATCTTGAAATATGTTGCACACCTCTAAGTTTTTACCAAGTTGCACTTGTGTTGGATCGGAGCTGATCATATGTTCTTCACACTGCTTTATCGCCTTGTGCAAGTCACGCAGGTGGCCCCATTTTGGCTGCCTAAGAAAACCTGCATAAGGTTCCTCACAAGATGAAACAACCTCAGGATATTTGAATGACAATTCTGAATTTCTGAGCCACACAACAAAAATTAATCTGTTTCACTAATTTCTCAAAATCCAAGTGTTGGATAAATTTACCATATTCATCTATGGGAGCATCATAATCATAGCTTGTTGCAACCAAAGGGCCTCCAGCTGTTCGCCCGAAGTTGGTCCCCCCAAAATACTGCAAGGAAATAACAGTGAACAAAGACATCATGATGATGTTTATGGAAGCATATGGTGGTGAAAATGCTAACCTTTACCAATCAAGGCTAGAACTAGAAAGAGAAATCTGTGTAGCTTACCATATAATAGTTTTGAAAAGTGCCACCTGTTTCAAAAAACCGTGCAACAGAAAAAGCAAGATCCTCAACAGGTCGAAAAGGAATTGGATTGCCAAATCCAAGGAACCTACACATTACATATGATGATATTCAACATTTTGTATTTCCAAGTTGAACTCCAAAGGTGGACTTGTCTCCTGTATGTTATAATAATAAGCTAGGTTGTTACCATCCACTGTAATTCTCTGTCCACATCTTTGGTTTGGATGGGGAATTTGGGGTAAACCTATCACAATAAAATCCATTGCATGTGTTTATCTGCAGGAAATTTATAAAAATAATGAAACCTTTCAAATGGAAATACTGAAAGAATGGGTACAATGGAAAGGTGGGAAAAACTGTGAGAAGATAACAATTAGAAGGTACAAGGATTGGCAAACTTGAAGACCTTCCAAGTAATGATGCCTCTTATCAGTGTAGACAACACCTTTTCATGGAAAATCAAGTACAATACTCACAATTGGATCCGGTGCATCGTCTTGCACACACATCACCCAAGGTACAGATGTATTAAGACTGACAGCAGTTTCTGCAGCCCATTTGACATATAATTCTCCACCAACTCCATATGAACCTTCAATATTTCCATATTCATTTTCAACCTGTCAGAGCACATATAAGAATGAAAATTGAGTATGCAAAACAGAACTGTAATTTCTATTAGCCTACTTTTTTGGAATGTAAGTTATGAAGCTTGAATAAATGCAAGATTACTAATCAACATGCATGATCGAAACACTATGAGTGCCCCAACTATGTTTTGGATACATAATCTGCATAACCGTCTTTTTAGTGTACGTCTTGATAAGCATCCAATGACTTAAACTAGTCATGCACTTGGTACAATGCTTCACTTGGCAATTAAAAATAAATGGGGTACAATTAAACCATCACATTAAGAATTAATAAGTTAGACCTGATAAGTTTCATATAGTGTATGGCCTACTGTCAAAGGAAAGCACCTGAGCAAGAATGATTGGGCCTCCTTGTGATGCGAAGAGATGCTCCTTCTTCATCATTTCAACAATTTTTGCAAGAAATTGCTTCATTTCAATCTGCATTTTGACAAGTATATAAAGTTTTCCAATCCATAAGATTCAATGCATTAATGTGAACAAGTTTTTCAAAAGCAGTAGCAATGCAAATAAAGATGGAAAAGTAAGAGGTCTTGTTTTATCCAAGGAGAAACCATTTCCACTGGCAAAAATAAATGTACCAAGTACCTTAAAAGGTGCATTTGTTGTGCGAAACTGAATTCCGGGAATAAAGTGTAACCAAATAGGAAATCCCCTGTCATAAGATAATGATATCTGCAGAATCAGTAAAAGCTATAACAGAGTGGAAAATACAAAACTACGAAACTGATGCCAGTGCAATGTACAAGAGAGCATGAAACAGAAACAAACCCATAGTTCCATTCAGCACAAGCATACGGGCCAATCCTCAAATGGACTAGAAGGCCAGTGTCTTGCACTGTCTTCACAAACCTTACCAAATCGAACCTGCCTTCAAAGTAGTACTATAAAAAATGAAAGAAAACATCAAATTAATGACAAATTTGGGGGAAAATAGATGCCTATTCCTAAAGGACCTAACTAGCTAGCTGAGAGGCTAGTGGTTTGTTCATATTAGAATGAATTTACATCACAGGCCAGAGTTATTCATACCTGGCCTTTTACAGGCTCATGATAGTTCCAGAAAACATAAGTCTCTATCACGTCCAGTCCCCCTTCCTTAGATTTCTTAATAATTTCCGGCCACACCTGCATTGTTCCCCAACAAGCACAATCCCGACAGTGTCATTACCATGCATCCTCTGATAGCCTTTTCAAAGTTTCTCAAAAAAATTACAATCACATTAACCACAGATTCTAGAAGTCACCTCTGGAGTGCTTCGAGGATAATGGATAGAGCCCGACTGCAAAATCCGCCGCTTCCCATCAATAACCAGTGCTCTGTGGTCATATGTCACAGTAGCAGAAAGCACTTTTTCAGTGAAATAACCTTCAAAAACTAGGAGAGCAAAAAGAACAAATGCCACCAAATTCTTGGTTCCCATAATTCAATTTAACCAAACTCACTAAACCCAGAATGCAGAAAACAGCAACGGAGCATAACCAAGCAAAATGTCCAAGAAAAATCCAAAAGACTCAACATTTTCCACAACCCATGTTGGTATTAGTACTTCCCATCAAGAGGAGAAAGAGCACGAGATTGATAAAATTATACAGGCGCGAATAATATATTAACATGTGGGCTACTGTGGGAATTGGTTTCTTGGCATTGAAAGTGCAAAGTATATGTATACATACACGGAGTTTTAAATGGAAAAGAATTGTACCTGAATGATTATCTAGACGAGATATCCAAAGCTTGGTTTTGGAGGGAAGCCGAGGGCACTAAACTAGTTTTAAGAAGAAAAAACAAAGGTGTTTGCTGTCAGTGGATAAGAGTACAAGGAGCTGGCACAGAGAGCAGAACTTCATTTTCAAGTTTTTTGGAAGCACATCGTGTGCAAGCGGTGAAGAATGGAGATAGTTTGATCGCGGCAGACGGCCAGTTGTGCAAGCATGCTTGTCAGTTTTCGTTTTCATCCACGACTCGACCGTTGATTTGAGGAAAGTTGAAGTTTTTGGCCCTTAATTTGGAAAACAAGTGTTTGGCAGTTCCATAGTTTGGGCCAGCTTTTTCCCTGGGACCATAGTTTTGTCTCCTGTTGGGCAAGAATTTGGGCCCTGCATTGCCATCGTTGTAGTGGATCATCCTTTTGCAATCTTTTTTCTTTAATTATCAAAGAGGAATAGGGCTTGAGAGTTCTTTCAATGCTAGCCTCTTCACGTGCACTTTTGTGCTTATGAGAGGTTTTTTTAAAAAAAAATTTTAAAATTAATTTAGAATTAAAAATGATAATGGGTAGTTGTGTTCCATAAAAATAGGATCCATTACATGATTTTTCTTTTAATTTTAATTTTTTTAAATATGAAAAAGTGTGAATTTACCATATTATCCTCATTTAATTAATAATTTCAATTCTTAATATTTGCATTAACCAAGGGCATTTTCTAGTATTTTGAATGTTTCATCATTCTCTGCCTTTTGCTTTATATATATAAATTAAATACGAAAAATAAAAAGAAAAAGAAGGTAGAGGCTTCTCCAATATGAACAACTTTTGGGTGTGACTATCTATACAAATTCACATATTTTAGAGAGGAGTAACATTACGTATAACAGTTACAGTGAAAATTTTCTCATCTAGATAAACCTTTAAATCTAAAGTAGATTTGACTTGAGAGTCAACATTGAGTAGAATTTGTAGACTTTGATGCCAGTCTCTCTTGTTGTCTTTTATTTGCTTCACTTGGGCCATAAAAATTCAGTTTGATGGGTAAAACAAATTTCAATTTTCAAATGTAAGTTGTAACCTTTAAATTCCCACAGAAAGCAGTAAGATTACAAATGTCTATTGAGGTGTTGCTCCTGTATGGGAGTTCCGTCTCTATTAGAAATGCGGTCAATAATGTGATTTCAAATAACATAAAATAATCTCAAGATCTACACCGTGTCTCACCTCATTTTCAAAGTGACGAAAGATGACTACCTCTCAAAAGAATTGGGACATTTTAGAAAAAGCAAAAGGAGAGAGAAAATTTTTAAAAGAAGCAAAAATGGACAAAAATACCCTTATTTATTTTTAGATTTCCTAAGGAATCCAATATATTTGCATGTCTTTGATTTGAAAGTTGAGCGGCTTTTTTGTCTTTTTTGAAAAAGTTTTGGCTTTTTCCAAAAGTGAAAATTTTTTTATGTCTAAAACCTAAAAAACCTAAAAGAATTTGAGACTGAACGCATCCTTATCTGGGTTCAGGTTTTTATCATTTTCCTCTATACTAGAAGAAAACCTAGGAATCACGAGTTCTGTTGTAATAAAATAAAACTGGATAAGAAACACGAGCTGATAAAATAATACATGTGCATTATTACGATGATTATTAATTGTGACTGCACAAACAACTACTCCACAGCTCACACCTCTCTTTTATTTTTATAAAAATGATTAGTGATAAGTCGTGATCGTTTATTTTCAAAAAAATAGAGAGAAGAAGCTGATTTAAAGACCCTTTACTTGGCTTGGCACACAAGAATTTCCGAATGACAACAAAACCTAAAAACCTTTGCAAGTCTACAACTAAGATACAAAGATTCACACCTGGAGTAGAAAACAAATTTGTAATTGTAAACCTGGATGGATCAATATTAAAACGCAATATGCAGGATTGATATGTGATTTAATCCTTGTACTACACAGCAAAAATCAAACACACAACAAACTGAGAAAATAAACGAAGCACAACGTATTTGTACGAAATCTCGCACGAGGAAAAAACCCTCCACACAGAAGAGAAAAACCTCAAGGCACACAGCCAATTTCACTAAAAACGTAAGGACATATACAAGACTCAATTGATGATTAGAGTGCAAAAAGGAGGTGTGTGAAAAAAACTTTCAGCCCAACCCTTTATATACTAGGTTAACTCTTTTACCTAATAAACAAAGAGATTGGCCTTATTTAAACCATTTCCTTATTTAAGACTCTATGAAGATTTGTATAGACTTTACACCAACTCAATCTTTAATTGGGAAACCAAATCCAATATGAATGCAAATTATTCTTACCAGAAAAGAGCTTTGCCGTGTAACACTAGTCAATCATGCTCCTCGTTTATCGCAAGCTCCAACCGTTGCAAGTTACAATTAATTCTAAAACTAGGAATAACCAACTTACAGACTCTTTACATTTGCTAGGAAATAGCCAACTAAAAATACACTTTCAAAATTTACACATGAAATCAAGACGGTTAATTTTCTCTCCGCATTTACTTCAAATTTATATGAAGCGAGGAAGATGGTGCAGGTTTAGACAGTATCCTTACGGATCCAATGTTCACATGCAGGGTTGACAGACTGACAGCATTGGTGGGAATCTCTGCAGCATCATTCTATGAAGCATCAAGTGGAAAACCAAATAAATTTATAAATTTATGGTCAATTGTCAACATTATTTTTGTTTATCCATCGCCAATATATTTGTCTAAAATTTCGACCAATTGTCAATGATCTCACTTACATTTTGTTGGGGAAAGCTAGGGATGACAACTCTCCTTGTGTTCAACTTAGGAACCTGAAAGTCGATGGATGTAAAATCCCATTTTTCCAAAACCATCATTTGTTCAATCATATGGTCCTTATTCTTATCCATCAAATTTTCGGCTGAGATAAGCTTGGCACATTTCGATTGCATAAGAAGTGAAAGAGGTAGCCTGTTATTGTTTGGGAGCGACGTTTGAAGGACGGACGAGGTTCTTCTTCTTCTCCTATAACTCTTAGCACACTATTTTTGCATTAATTTGGAAATTATTTCTTATCTTGTCTTACCGATAGCGTTTCTTCTACCATGAACTGCGGTTAGGATTGATCAGACCACCCACTTTAAGATTTAGATCAACAAGGCCTTTTTACATTAAGAACAAAATAAAAACTCTTCTCTTATTAATCTTGTCCTTTCAGGGTGTTTCGGACAAATCCAGTATTTATCAGTTTATAACTCAATCCAGATTAGATTAGATGAGATGATAACTGGACTTAGATATCTTCAATGAAAATAAATGTATCTGCTCACGTAAAAGTTTAAGTGTGCTATCCACAGCAACTCAGTGTAAATAACCGAGTCAACAAATTTGACTCATCAGTCCTCACAAAGCTTGAGTCAAGTAGCTCAACCCTAGTTGAGAAGTAGTATAGCTACCAGCTGTCACAAAGCTTGAGCTAATAAAGACATGAGCATAGACCTTACAAAAACTATTTATTTTCTCTCTTCTTCTCTCTCCTCTTCCTTAACTACCAAAATCCTAACAGGTTCAAGAGATTCTGTAACATTTTCTTTCTGGGCTATAAGAAGCTGCTAGTCCCAATTGACCCAGTTTGAATGAAATACTAAATTACAATAGGATATGTACCTTCGCAGTATTAAATATAACATTTTTACAATCAGGAAGGATGCTCACGGACCAAGCTGGGAGGAAATAGATATTTCCATTAAAAGTGACATTTGCATCCAAGCTACTGCCATAATTAGCAAGAAAGGCTGCACACTCATTGGAACTTTTATAGTAGACATGTGCCTGATGAAGAAAGGAAAAACCAATGTGAGGATGGAGTAAGAGATACGAGCATGAGAAAATAATGGTGAAAACTGATCCTCAAAGGCAATTGATTTAAGTCCAGAAAATTTATTGAAGAACCTTGAATTATGTTGCACACCTCTAAGTTTTTACCAAGTTGCACTTGTGTTGGATCGGAGCTGATCATATGTTCTTCACACTGCTTTATCGCCTTGTGCAACGCAGGTGGCCCCATTTTGGCTGCCTAAGAAAACCTGCATAAGGTTCCTCACAAGATGAAACAACCTCAGGATATTTGAATGACAATTCTGAATTTCTGAGCCACACAACAAAAATTAATCTGTTTCACTAATTTCTCAAAATCCGAGTGATGGATAAATTTACCATATTCATCTATGGGAGCATCATAATCATAGCTTGTTGCAACCAAAGGGCCTTCAGCTGTTCGCCCGAAGTTGGTCCCCCCAAAATACTGCAAGGAAATAACAGAGAAAAAGGACATTATGATGATGTTTATGGAAGCATATGGTGGTGAAAATGCTAAACCTTACCAATCAAGACTAGAACTAGAAAGAGAAATCTGTGTAGCTTACCATATAATAGTTTTGAAAAGTGCCACCTGTTTCAAAAAACCGTGCAACAGCAAAAGCAAGATCCTCAACAGGTCGAAAAGGAATTGGATTGCCAAATCCAAGGAACCTACACATTACATATGATGATATTCAACATTCTGTATTTCCAAGTTGAACTCCAAAGGTGGACTTGTCTCCTATATGTCATAATAATAAGCTAGATTGTTACCATCCACTGTAATTCTCTGTCCACATCTTTGGTTTGGATGGGGAATTTGGGGTAAACCTATCACAATAAAATCCATTGCATGTGTTTATCTGCAGGTAATTTATAAAAATAATGAATCCTTTCAAATGGAAGATTGAAAGAACGGGTACAATGGAAAGGTGGGAAAAACTGTGAGAAGATAACAATTAGAAGGTACAAGGATTGGCAAACTTGAAGACCTTCCATGTAATGATGACTCATATCAGTGTAGGCAACACCTTTTCATAGAAAATCAAGTACAATACTCACAATTGGATCCGGTGCATTGTCTTGCACACACATCACCCAAGGTACAGATGTATTAAGACTGACAGCAGTTTCTGCAGCCCATTTGACATATAATTCTCCACCAACTCCTTATGAACCTTCAATATTTCCATATTCATTTTCAACCTGTCAGAGCACATATAAGAATGAAAATTGAGCATGCAAAACAGAACTGTAATTTCTATTAGCCTACTTTTTTGGAATGTAAATGAAGCTTGAATAAATGCAAGATTACTAATCAACATGCATGATCGAAACACTATGAGTGCCCCAACTACGTTTTGGATACATAATCTGCATAACCGTCTTTTTAGTGTACATCTTGATAAGCATCGAATGACTTAAACTAGTCATGCACTTGGTACAATGCTTCACTAGGCAATTAAAAAATAAATGGGGTACAATTAAACCATCACATTAAGAACTAATAAGTTAGACCTGATAAGTTTCATATAGTGTATGGCCTACTGTCAAAGGATAGCACCTGAGCAAGAATGATTGGGACTCCTTGTGATGCGAAGAGATGCTCCTTCTTCATCATTTCAACAATTTTTGCAAGAAATTGCTTCATTTCAATCTGCATTTTGACAAGTATTTAAAGTTTTCCAATCCATAAGATTCAATGCATTAATGTGAACAAGTTTTTCAAAAGCAGTAGCAATGCAAATAAAGATGGAAAAGTAAGAGGTCCAGTTTCATCCAAAGAGAAACCATTTCCACTGGCAAAAATAATTGTACCAAGTACCTTAAAAGGTGCATTTGTTGTGCGAAACTGAATTCCGGGAATAAAGTGTAACCAAATAGGAAATCCCCTACCATAAGATAATGATATCTGCAGAATCAGTAAAAGCTATAACAGAGTGGAACATACAAAACTAGGAAACTGAAGCCAGTGCAATGTACACCACAAGAGAGCATGAAACAGAAACAAACCCATAGTTCCATTCAGCACAAGCATACAGGCCAATCCTCAAATGGACTAGAAGGCCAGCTTCTTGCACTGTCTTCACAAACCTCACCAAATCGAACCTGCCTTCAAAGTAGTACTATAAGGAATGAAAGAAAACATCAAATTAATGACAAATTTAGGGGAAAATAGATGCCAATATTCCTAAAGGACTTAACTAGCTAGGTGAGAGGCTAGTGGTTTGCTCATATTAGAATGAATTTACATCAAAGGCCAGAGTTATTCATACCTGACCTTTTACAGGCTCATGATAGTTCCAGAAAACATAAGTCTCTATCACGTCCAGTCCCCCTTCCTTAGATTTCTTAATAATTTCCGGCCACACCTGAATTGTACCCCAACAAGCACAATCCCACATTGTCATTATAATGCATCCTCTGATAGCCTTTTCAAAATTTCTCAAACATATTACAATCACATAAGTAACAGATTCTAGAAGTCACCTCTGGAGTGCTTCGAGGATAATGGATAGAGCCCGACTGCAAAATCTGCCGCTTCCCATCAATAACCAGTGCTCTGTGGTCATATGTCACAGTAGCAGAAAGCAGTTTTTCAGTGAAATAACCTTCAAAAACTAGGAGAGCAAAAAGAACAAATGCCACCAAACTCTTGGTTCAAATCCTTTCAGTGCAAGCGTGTTTTTCAGTTTTCGTCATCATCCATGACTCGACCGTTGAAGTTTTTGGCCCTCAATTTAAAAAACAAGTGTTTGGCAGTTCTACAAGTTTGGGCTAGCTTTTACTCTGGGACCATAGTTTTGTCTGTTGGGCAAGAATTTGGGCCCTGCATTGCCATCGTTATTGTGTGGGTCATCCTTTTGCAGTATGAAAAAGAAGGCAGAGTCTTCTCCAATATGAACAGCTTTTGGGTTTAGGGAGAAAAGCGGAATACTTACTGTGAAGAGTTGTTATTTTTTGGGCTTTCTCAAGCTTGGGCAAAAAGTCCCTTCCTGCCCATTCTTCTCACCAGATTGATACTGAGGTGTGGAAAACAATTTGGAAAATTGATGTGGTTCCAAAGATAAGGAACTTCCTATGGAAAGCATTATATGCTGGGAGATTTGGAAGGAAAGATGCAACGCTTTCTTCTCACACTTCCCCCCCGATCCTGGTATTGTGCTCAGGAAAGCTACTGCAAGGATTTTTGAAATGAAGGGCTTGGCATCTATCCCTGACACTACAGATGCTGTAAATGTAAGCCCTGCTTACTGGCGGCCCCCGGAGGAAGGATTTATCAAAATTAACGTTGATGGCGCATGGCAAAAGACTACGATGCATGGAGCTGTGGGGTGTGTAATCCGTGACAATCGAGGCAACCTTATCGGTGGGGCATCCTCTTTTACTGTTCGTTCCTCTCCTGAGGAAGTGGAGGCTGAAGCTATCTTGGAAGGTTTGAATTTGGCCAGGACTATGCAATTTCAATATATTGTGGTGGAGAGTGACTCAAAGGTTGTTATCGAGTCGATCTCCAAAAATAAGCTGATGCTGTGGAGGATTTATCCTTTGTTAGCAGAGATTTGGCGCAGAACTTCCTTCTTTTCAAGGGTGGTCTGGAGCTGGGTCCCAAGGAAAGCCAATTGTGCTGCCCATGCAGCGGCGGCTTTAACAAATTCGAGGGTGAGACATGTGAATTGGGCAACTTCGCCCCCTCCCTCTTTGGTTCTGGTGCTCTCCAAAGATGGACTCCCATGTCCTCCCCGATAATCTCGTCTTTCACGTTTCCTAGTTGTCTTTGTTTTTAATTGCGGTTTGCTTTCCTGGGAGGTGTTTCTGCTCCCTGTTGGCCTTGGGCCAGTGCTGCGCTTTTAGCTTTATGTTTTGGCGTTTGTATCTCTTGACTTTCCCATGTGTTTCTGCATGGGAGGTTATTTGTTTCTAATGAAGAGTTTGATCTTCCTGACAAACAAAAAAAAAAAAAAAAAAAGAACAACTTTTGGTGTGAGTGAGAAAAAATTCACATATTATCTGATGAATTTATATTTTAGAGAGGAGTAATATTACGTGAGGCATAATTATTACATTGAAAATTTTCTCATATAGATAAACCTTTAAATATGAAGTAGATGCATTGCGTAGAATTTGATGCCAGTCTCTCTTGCTGTCTTTTATTTGCTTCACTTGAGCCATAAAATTTCACTTTGATGGTTAAAACAAACTTAAAACTTCAAAACTTTGAAGCAAAGATGGGGTCGGTTTGTTAATGGACTTTAATTGGCTGGGATGGGGATGATGTCACGTGGACTGTGGTATTATTTTAGTCTACAAAAAAATCAACTCACCTTGACTACAGCCCAGGCTCAGGACCGTCCGGTGCAGGTTTTGACAGTATACTTACGGATCCAACGTTCATATGCAGGATTGACTGACTGACAGCATTGATGGGAATCTACCATTCTATGAAACACATCAAGTGGAAGACCAAATAAATTTATAAATTTATGGTCAATCGGCAACTCTCCTTGTGTTCAACTTAGGAACCTGAAAGTCGATGGATGTAAAATCCCATTTTTCCAAAACCATCATTTGTTCAATCATGTTGTCCTTATTCTTATCCAACAATTTCCGGTTCAGATATGCGCTTGGCACATTTCGATTGCATAAGAAGTGAAAGAGGTAGCCTGTTATTGTTTGAGCGACGTTTGAAGGACGGACGAGGTTCTTCTTCTTCTCCTTTAACTCTTAGCAGACCATTTTTATTGTAGATTTGATAAGTAAAGTGGCTATAGTTTTCACGGCTGCTTCTTTTACGTACGGTACCGGTACCCTTTTAATTTTGGTGGGTAATATATTTACATGCATCATAACTCCTTGCATTAATTTGGAGATTATTTCTTTGCTTGTCTTACCATGAATTGCGTTTCTTCTATCATGAACTGCGCTTGGGATGATCAGACCGACTTTGAGATTTAGAACCATGTGACCGTACTACCGTAATAGTGAATCTCCCAAGAATAATGGGTTGTCTTAGCTTCACCACTACCGTAGTATTCTATAATCACTGCAATTAACGAAACAATATATGTAATAGAGACGGCGCTAAATCTGCACAAAATCAGCCACTCCAATTGTTGTGATTTTTACTTTCTTTTTATTGTGATATTGTAATTCCATGTAATTATAGGTAATTGTAATCCCATGTAATTATAGGTAATTGTAACCAAATAGGAATGTACTTGAAGACCAAGTAGCCACCACTTGTATAAATATTTTAGTTCTATTTGAATACATATCATCCAATTTCAAACCTAAGTGAATATCTGACATGGTATCAAAGCGATAAACCATAGCCTAGCTTCCATGTGTTTTCCCTCTGTGTTTTTCTCTGCCCACATATGCCTTCTTCTACTGAACCCTCTCCGGCAAATACTCCTCCATCATCCTCTCCTTCTTCTCCGATGACATCTTCCTCGTCTGCAACGTCGCTTGCTTCTTCTATGGCCTTTCTTCCTAATATCTCCTATGTTATTTCTATCAAACTGGATCGTATGAACTACATCATTTGCAAAGCTCAGTTCTTGCCCCTGTTGAAGAGTATCGGTTTAATCGGATATGTTGATCAAACAAATTCGTGTCCCTCTCAGTTTACCTCTGATGGTGTCACTCCTAATCCTGCCTATGCAGACTGGCATAAACTTGATCAACAACTGCTAAGTTGGATTAATTCTACCCTCACTCCTGGCGTGCTCTCTCAAGTTTCTCGTTGTCTTACAACTCGTGATGCTTGGATCTCTTTGGAGAAACGTTTCAATTCTCAGTCCCGTTCTCTTATTCTTCAGTTAAAGCACCGGCTGCAAACCACCAAACGAGGTGCCTCCTCCATCACCGATTTTGTCGATTAGATGACTACTGTTGTTGATAGTATGGCTCTTGCTGGCAAACTCGTGGATGATGATGATGATCTTATTAACCTCATTCTCAATAGTCTCAGACACGCGTACGAGAGCGCTGTCAACTCTATTCAGTCTCGTGACCCTCCTATAGCCTTAGATGATGTTATTACCTTTTTATTGACTGCTGAGACTCGTATGGCTGATTACACCTCTTCCATGACATCTAATTCTACCACACAAGTGTTTTATGCTAATCGTGGCCATGGCTTTTCCAACCGTAGGTTCTCCTTTTCATGTGGTGGTCATCGTGGAGGATTCTCTGGCTCTTGTTGTGGCTTTTCTGGCCCTGGTTCTTCTCTTGGTCAGGGCATCCTTCCTCTTCCTCCCAAGCTACATCTTCCGTGCCTGTTGCTGCTAGTCGTTGTGGTTTCTCCTCTCCGTCTTATGGTTCATCTCCTGGTTTTCATGATCGTTGTTATAACTGTGGTGAATGTGGTCATATGGCTCGTTATTGCGCTAGCCCTCATGTTGCTCCCCAAGCCATGGTTGCCTCTCATACTCCCGCTCAGTCATCTACTTGGATTACTGATAGTGGTGTCTTCACTCCCATAACAAATGATCTTGCTCATCTCCAGCTCTTTCAGAATTATGGTGGTTCAAATCAAGTTTCAGTGGGTAATGGTCAAGGTTTGCATATATCAAATATTGGTTCTAGTTCAATCTCTCAATTTCATTTAAATAAAGTTCTTCAGTGTTCTTCCGCATCTCATAATTTGCTTAGTGTTCATCAATTTGCTCTCAATAATTCTGTCTATTTTATTTTCACCCCCTCTGATTTCTATGTGAAGGATCTCGTCTCGGGGAAGACGATTTTCCACGGCAAGAGTGAAAATGGTCTCTATTCATTCCGGTCTCCTCCATCCTCCTCCTCATTTCCTACCACCTTCATGGCCCTCCTTGGTATCCGTACTTCCTTTCCCGTGTGGCATCAACACTTAGGTCATCCATCTCCTGCTGTCTTCCAGAAGATTTCAGCTCACCTTTCCCTTTGTGGTTCTCCTAGTAGTTCTTTTTTGTTCTCATTGTCCTCTAGGCAAAAGTAGTCGTTTACCGTTTTAGTTATCTTCTTATGTTTCTACTGTTTTGTTACAACTCGTTCATTTTGATATTTGGACATCTCCTGTTTTATCTAATAAAGGTTCTAAGTATTTTATCTTATTTGTTGATGATTACTCTCGTTATACATGGGTTTTTTCCATGGGTTTTAAGTATGAAGCTTTTGATTATTTTTAGAAATTTAGGATATTTGTGGAAAATTTATTGTCTGTTGACCGTGTGTGCACAATCAAATCTCTTCAAACAGATGGAGGGGGGTTTGATTCCTTAGTCACCAATTCCAGCATTACTTAAGTACTCATGGGATTTTTCACCGTGTTGCCAATCCTCACACCCCTGAACAAAATGGATTCGCCGAACGCAAACAGCGACACCTCATAGACATGGCTCTTACTCTCCTCGCCACCGCCCACATGCCCTTTTCCTTTTGGGTTGAAGCTTGTAATACTTCTACTTATTTAATCAACCGTTTGACTGTCCTTCAATTATATTTTTTTGTCTCCATATGAATCTTTGTTTGGTCGTCGTCCTGACTATTCTATTTTTCGTGTTTTTGGTTGTGCCTGTTTTCCTTACACATGTCCTTACAATAAACATAAACTTCAATTTTGTTCGTGTTTTCATAAGTTATTCTCTCAATTACCAAGGTTATCATTGTTATGATCCTTCTACTGGTCTTGTTTATCTCTCTTGTCATGTTGTTTTTTATGAATCTACTTTTCCATTTCAGGTTTTCTCTCATGCTTCCCCGATGCCTCATCCTCCACTTTTAGTCGTGTTTTCCTCCCTCGTTATGTCTCCACCACCGCCCCTTCCTTCCCCACAGCCCCTTCCCCCTCCTCCTCCTCCTTCACCCACAGTCACTCATGTTGATGTCCCCGCTTCTCTGGTTAAGTCATCCCCACCCCCTCCCTTCCCCCTACCCATACAGTGGTTACTAGTTTGAGAGATGGGATTCAGAAACCGAATCCCAAATATGCACATCTTGTTTTTTCACAGGTATCTGAGATCTTACCTACCTCGTTCCAAGAAGCAACCAAATCGAATCAATGGCGCCAAGCTATGCTCACAGAGGTCCAAGCCCTCCACCACAATCATACTTGGGATCTTGTTCCTCCCTCCCCTCACCACCATGCCTTGCCTTGAAAATGGGTGTGCCGTATCAAACGCTACTTCGATGGTTCCATTGAACGGTATAAGGCCCGTCTTGTGGCCAATGGTTTTCATCAACAATATGGCATTGACTACTTGGAAACTTTCAGTCCTGTTGTTAAGCATGTTACTGTTCGCATTATTCTTTCTCTTGTTTTTTCTCGGCAATGGCCCATTCGCCAGCTTGATGTCACTAATGCTTTTCTTCATGGTTATTTGTCTGAAGAGATTTACATATGTGTCAACCTCGTGGCTTTGAAGACCCTAAATTTCCTCATCATGTCTGTCACCTTCGAAAATCTCTCTATGGTCTCAAGTAATCTCCCCATTCTTAGTTCTCCTGCTTCTCTGCGTTTCTTATTCACTCGGGCTTCACGGCTTCCAAGGTGGATCCTTCCTTATTCATCTATCATAAAGATGACAATTTTCTCTTCCTTTTGATTTACGTGGATGATATTATTGTTACTGGTAATGCTTTGTCACAGATTCAAGCCCTTATTCAGTTTCTTAACCGTCAGTTTGCTATGAAAGATTTGGGGATCTCCATTATTTTTTGGGTATTGAGGTAAAGCGTACTCCAGATATGTTGTGTTTGACTTAAGCCAAATATGAGGCCGATCTTCTAAAAAAAGGCCACCTTACATGAGGCTAATCCTTGTCTCACTCCAGTTGCCACTGGTTCTCAACTTAGCTCTCTTCATGGCTCCCCTCTCTCCAATCCCATAGAGTATCGCAGTCTTGTTGGCGTGCTTCAATATCTCACCCTCACCCGTCCCAACATCTCCTTTGCCATCATCCAAGTTTGTCAATTCATGCATCATCAACCTACTGATATTCATTGGAAAGCCGTCAAGCGCATTCTACGTTATGTTCTTGGCACTTCTCATGATGGCCTTGTTTTTTGTCCTGGTAACTCTTCTGTGATTACTTTCTCTGACGTCGACTATGTTGGTAATCCCGATGATTGTCGTTATACATGGGGATATTGTATTTTCTTTGGCTCAAACCTCGTCTCTTGGAGCTCTAAGAAGCAGCCCACCGTATCCCACTCTAGTACCAAATCTGAGTATCGTCAATTGGCTCTCACCGCTATGGAACTCTCATGGATTCAACAACTCTTACCAGAATTACATGTCTCTTTGCCCTCACCTCCTTTGCTTTGGTGTTACTACACAAGCTCTATTGCTCTTGCTTCTAATATGATCTTTCATGCGCGCACCAAACACATTGTTGTTGATTATCATTATGTCTGTGAACTTGTCCTTGCTGGCTCATTGCATGTTTGTTATGTCTCCACCCATACTCAACTGGTTGACATTTTTACCAAGGGTCTCCCGCTTCTTCGGTTTGCCTTTCTCAAATTCAAGCTGTTGAGCTCTTCGCACATCAACTTGTAGGGGGATAATAGAGATGGCGCTAAATCTGCACAAATCAGCCACTCCAATCGTTGTGATTTACTTTCCCTTTATTGTGATATTGTAATTCCATGTAATTATAGGTAATTGTAATCCCATGTAATTATAGATAATTGTAACCAAACAGGAATGTACTTGGAGACCAAGTAGCCACCACTTGTATAAATATTTTTGTTCTATTTGAATACAAAATTTTATGTGACATGAAGATTAGAGAATGAATAAACATGTTTTCTTTTTTTCATGCTTTACTATTGCCTTGATAATTTTGTTTGTTCAGTCTGCGCTTTTGAAAATTTACTTAACTATATCATTATTATTGTTTCTGTATAAGGATCTCACTGGTCTATAAAATACAGGAGACAGGAAACCTGAAATTGGAATTTAGATGTGAAAGAGTGACTGATCAAAACGGATAGCAATGGCAGGTGCGGTATTGATTTCTTTTTTGTTCTCAACAGAAAGTAAGAATTTTTTTTCTTCAAGTCTTCTCTTCTATTGAGGTAACACTGAGAAAAATAATGAGAGATAAAAAATAAGAGAAACAAAAGTTGGTTTCTATCTCAACCTGCTGCATTTTTTTTTAGCAGGAGCAACATGAAAATGATCATATAATTTTCTTCTTGCAATATTACAATTTACATGTTAACTTATACGTACCATGCATGATATTGGCTCTCATCATCTACTTCTCTCTTTCTTTGGCTGTAGCAGAGTTTCTGGAGCTTGTTACCTCTGTCTGTGGTTGTCTGTGGAAAACACCCTGTTTAGGCAAGCCCCTTGAAGAGAAATATAATTTTTTCTCAAAACGCAAAGAATATCTAGATACTTTAAAAAAAGGCATGGACGATTTGGAGAAACGAAGGCGTGAAGTACAGAGAGAATCTGAGGAGAAGGTGGTGAGCAAGCCTTGCAAAATCTCCGACTGGTTAAACAAGGCAAATAAATTCATAGCTGAAACTAACGAGTTGAAATTTGAGGACACAATAAGTGGGAATTTGTGTGGTTTCCCAAACTATTATCGCTCACAGTATACAGCTGGGAAAAATATTGTTGACAGTATTAAAACGGTGAATTTGCTGAACGAGGAGGGCTCAAAGTTGTTTAATGCGGAAGAATACTTTGTGGTGGGATATATACAGGAGAACACAAAAGAACTGGTGGGCAAGACAGCAAGTGCTTTTGAGAAGATTATGAAATTCGTTTCGGAAATGGAGGTTGGAACCATTTGTGTTTATGGGATGTCTGGTTCGGGCAAGACTGAAGTTGTAAAGCAAGTCAATAACCAAATATTAAAAGAGTACAAAAGTTGGGCCTCCTCGGAAGATAGCAATGACAGAGATGGAAATATTGCAGGCCATTTTGACAAAGTTATTTTGGTGACTGTAGAGAATATTGGATCAACTGAGGCAGCCATTGATGCCCTGCGGAATGAAATCCAAAAAAAATACCAGCTTGACCACAATGCCGGGAACAGAGCAAACAATTTGGACAGTGCGTTGAGGAAGAGAAGATTTCTGATCGTTTTGGATGACATGCGGAAAGAGTTGTCTCTCGAGCATATTGGGATTCCATGGCTAACCAACAATGGCTCCAAGGTTATAATCGTTTCGAAATCACGTCCAGTGTGCAGGGACATCACATTTGATAGAGAGGTCGAAATCGAACTTGTATCAGACGAAGAAGCACTCAAGTTGTTCGAGGTTGAAGCTGGCATTGGATTATCTGCACTAAGGGAAGATACTCGAGCCACCGCGGAAAACATGGTACGTGAGTGTGATGGTCTGCCCGTGGCGATTGCTGTTCTGGCTCAAACCTTGAAAGAAATAATGAAATGGGATCCTAGCGATGTCGATGTCGATGTCGATGTCGATGCAGAATGGAATGGAGCATTTTATAAGTTGAGAAATTCTAGTGGTCTCTTGGTAAAAAATAATAGGAAGGCATTTGCCCGCCTGTTATATAGCTACTCTATGTTGAAGAAAGAAGCTCGGCAGTGCTTCCTGTACTGTGCATTGTACCCACCTGGTCATTGCATTGAAAAGAAAGAGTTAGTGGAGCACTGGTTTTGGGAAGGTTTATTGAGTAGCAGAGAAAGAATTAAGGGGCAGCTGATAGAAGATACGACATATGCAAGAGAGATACTGGATGAGATCAAAGGAGCTTACCTTCTGGAAGCAGTTAGTGAAGGTGGAAAAGAATGCATCAAGATGCGCAACTTAGTTAGGCATATGGCAATCCATCTGACCAAAACAACCCCCGATTATGATCAGTTTCTCATCGAAGCCGGGTTGAAGCTTACCGACTGCCCGCTGATAGGGAGGAACTTGTCTAAAGTAGAGAGAGCCTCATTGATGAAAAGTCAGCTTAAAGCACTTACAAAAAAACCCGAGTTTTACAAGCTATCCACGTTACTTCTGCAGCACAACCCCATCTCTCACTTTGATGACGATTTCTTCCGTAATATGCCTAACCTCAAAGTTCTTAACCTTTCTCATACCAATATCTCTACCCTTCCAAAGTCAGCCTCTTCTCACTTGACAAAACTAAGGGCACTCCTCTTGCGCGGTTGTTGCAACTTAACATCTCTGCCTTCTTTAGCAAACTCTGGGGAACTACTTGTTCTGGACCTTTCTGATACTCCCATAACAGAATTACCTCACGGCATGAAGAAACTAAACAAGCTTATTCGCCTCGACCTGTCTCGTACAAATGTGGGAGAATTTCAAGCTGAAATAGTTCATGAGTTAAAAAATCTGGAAGAACTCTACTTGATGATAACCAATGACTCTGCAGGTTCTCCGTGGGGATCAGATAAAGGAGCAAGTAGAATGTGGGGATCAGAGAAAGCAGCTAGTATTCAGGAGCTGGGATCCCTTCAGCACTTAGCTATTCTTCATGTCAACTTCCTAGATGCAAAATCCTTCAATACATATGTTGGTTCGAAGAATCATTCTCTATCCAAATTCAAATTCTCTGTGGGTGGTTCTTGGGATGAAAAGAAGTTGCCTGAAAACAGCATAGTTTTCATCAAAAGTGACTTCCTTGTGAACAAAAAACCAATCTTACTCCCAGAAGACACAGCTGAGCTGCATGTAATGAGCAACAAGGATCTACACTGGTTGCCTTTCAGCCGTCGACGTTGTCTAGACAGCCTGAAGGTCATAGATATATCTGGCTGCGAAATTTTGGTCTATTTGTTTTCGTTCAAGAGGAACGTATCATACAACCTTCCAAACCTCGAAAAAATTTCCGTTAGAAATTGTCAGAAGATGGAGGGCTTAATATCAAAAGAAGACCCTTTGCCATTTGCACTTTGTTTGAATAAACTAAAGGTCATCCATATCTCAGACTGCAAAAATTTGGGCTACTTATTCAGGATTAAGATGGATTCTTGTCAGTCTACCTCTAACCAAAAAAAGATGTACTCGACCTGCTTCCCAAACCTCCAAGAGATATGCATTACACGACGCCGGAGGATGAAAGTGGATAAAGAGTCGAAAGAACCCAACGCTTGTCCTACTATTCATCCAAGACCAACGGACCTTGTGTCGGTTGATCCACTTGAATTGAAGAAATATTATGATTTTGAAAAGAAGGATAATCCTCGGGAACACATTTGGTACTTTCCTGATCTAAAGATGCAGATCATAACTTCTCTGCCAAGGTTAGTATGCCACCAACAATTAAACCTTGTTCATTGTACATGTTCGAATTTGTGTCTTTTTTCTGCCACGCAAACAACAGTGTCAAGGCAGTGAGGATTAATCTGTCCTCCAGTACGTTCCATGAATGTAATTGGATGACATGGCAATTTACTTTGTCTTTAAAGGCATTTGTCTTTAAAAGTTTGCAATAGATTTATTTTAGAAGATTGATCCACATGGCCACGGTGGTGTCCTATGATATGTTTAGATTTTGAAGCGATTTGGTAAAACAAAAATGTAAATCTGAGTTTGTTCCCCTTATATTAATTGGAAGTTATTAACTCTGAACTTTTATTTTCATGAAAATATCATACGGGATCATTCAGTAGTAGCAATCGGATTAAAAGGAGTCGGAGCAGTGGTATGTCCTTCCTCTCGCACTCAATTTTCACATAATTGTTATGAGGATTATTTATTCTTCTCCGTCTGATAACTTTCTGTTTTCGGTGTTTGCAGACTCCATAGAGAAGCTAGCAGCCAGTGCAGACGGTACGCTTTTATTAAGCGATGTCTGAACTCTGTTTTCTTTCTTTCTCAGGATTCATGACTGATCAACTCCGCCAGATTGAACTGGAATTTCTTACATGTTAACTTGGTTGTATTTTGTTCCTTGTTAGCCAGACTTTGAAAATGATAGGAAAAAGTGTAGTGGTATCAGTTTGTATACTTTTCATATTTGCTGGAGGGTCCTATGCGTGAGAATGTGAAGAAATATTTCCACATTGAAAACGGCTAAACGGCTAAATAGCTTCACGTCACCTAATAATGCACTTCTTATAATGTGGGACATTTCTTCACATTCTCGCAGCATACACTACCCAATTCATATTCTATGAAGGATGAGATCATTTTCATTTGAAATTATCGTTGCAGGGCCACTTTTAGCTGTTTATTTGGTAATTAATCCCCTTCCTTCCCTTTTTTGATACAGATAATAAAGAGCTTTTGGAACCGACTGCTGACAATAGTAATAATAGCATTCTACAGAACGTCGGGAACACGGTCCACAACGTAATAATTAAGGTTCTATTGGGGCACATAGTTACTGCAACCATCAGGTCCAGACCGGCCGGACGTCAAAATGCTGGAGAGACAATTCCTCAGGTAACCAAATAATTAGTGTTACTTTTTTTCTTTTGTTCTATAGAGAGTTCTGTTCTTTATATAGTGTTTCTGATGATGCAGTTCATTATATGTGCAGGTCCAGGATGAAGAGGAAAATGCTATTGAGCCCAACATTGGCATCCCAGAGCACGACTAAACCTACTCTCTTTCTTCTACCTTCCTTAAGAGTTCCAAAATAAACTACTTTATCTACCTACCCTTTCACTAAATATTATTTATCGTTGTAATAATACAGGGCTCAAGACAGTCCTTGCTCGACCACTTGATCCATATTTATATATTTATATTTGTAATGTAACTTCTTTTTTTCATTATCCTTCCTTTTGTGACAAGCATGGCAGTAAAGTCTCCTCAGAAAGAGCTATATATATATATATATATGCTCTGGCTGGACCATGATAAATTTGTTTACAATTGATGGACCATGTTGCCCAAAATCTCTAATTATTTTCAACTTTTGAGGTTTGATGATGGTGATTTATGTTAGCAAATGGAAATTTTCACAATCTTAACAAGGTTTTTTTTTAATTTTCTAAAACCGGTAATCTGGTTTTCCATCAAACTCTCTAAAGGGTAAAAACGGGTTTTAAGGTGTTAAAAATATACAAATTTATAAATAAATCCAATTCTAGACATGTATTTATAAAAAAACCCAAGTACTATTTAAACATAGAAATACACCCAAAATCAACCCCAAAGTCAACTTTTTGGGTGTGTTTATAAATGGGTTTTGAGAGTGTGTAATGATGAGTTTTGGGTGTGTTTATATGTTTAAATAGTGCTTGGGTTTTTTTATAATTTCAACCCCCATTTTGGGTGTTTTAGTGAAACTCCCTTAAAAATAACCCAGACCAGACCCATAAAAATTAAAATAACAGCGGCAGCCAGCAGGGCCAGGCCCTGTCTACGAGTAAATGAATGCCATAATTGAGAGGGGTTGGTGGGCTTGTGATAAATGAGGACTGATATGTATGAGCACTCACTCAAAGACCCTCAAGACAAGACTGAAACAATCTGATTCTTCACTCAAATTCAATCACAAAAGGGTATCTTGGGTTTATTGGACCGCTCGATTGCTCCGATTCGGTGAGTTTCTTCTCTCTATCCAACACGTTTTTCATTTTAGAAAACAGACGTTGCTTTGATTCTTGCACCAAGTTTTGGTTGATTGCCTTACATTTGTACTTACTGGTAGCTGAAATTCCTCTATCTTTTTATGCTGCGTCTGATCAATTTTGGGTTTTCTGGTTCGCTCAATAATCCGGAATAGTGGAACGAATTGTGAGGTCTTGATTTCAATATCTGATCTTTATTGCAATTTCCTCAAAAACCAATTGCAAAGGTGAAAACTTTGGAGTGAAAGTTTTGACAACATCAGGCAACATCCTAAATTTAAGAACTATGAAACATGTTACAAAGTTAGGTTCACCTTTTAAAAAGACCACATTGCAAGAAGATATCAAATAAGCGTGTGACCTTTTAGTGCTCACAGAATGCCATATGAAAATTGCAGATGCCCTTTAGAGTTGTTGCTCCTGTAAATGTTTACTTGGTAATGGCATATGCTTGAATAATGAATCAGTTGGGATGTGGATGGCTGTTTAGTACCTTCCATATTGAACTTAACATGTAGAATCTGAAGATCATGTAATATTCTTTCGGCAGATTCCAACCTTGGGCTCCATCTCACTGCTGAATAATGGATTTAAGTACAATGGATCGGGGCCAATTGACGCTGCTAGGATCTGCATCTTGTGTGATGCTTACGATGCATTTCTCTGTCCAGTTACTGTCACAACATCTCTTTTACTGGAAGAACCCAAAGGAGCAGAAGGCTATAATTATTATTATTCTTATGGCTCCAATATATGCAGTTGACTCATTTGTGGGCTTATTGGATATTCAGGGAAGCAAAACTTTTTTCATGTTTTTGGACTCTATTAAGGAGTGTTATGAGGCTCTGGTGAGTACCACCAATTTCTTTATGGCGGTTGTCCTTTTCAAGTGTCTCTTATGGCTTGCCAGAATCTCTAACTTCTCATGTTCCTACTTCCAGGTGATTGCTAAGTTCTTGGCTCTAATGTATAGTTACCTGAAGATATCCATAAGCAAGAATATAGTGCCAGATGAAATCAAAGGAAGAGAAATTCACCACTCGTTTCCTATGACTCTTTTTCAGGTGCGGGATAGTTTTATGCTCTTTCAGTTTCCAATGCAATGGACATGTTGGCTCTGAATACTAACACTGATTTTGGAATATAAGCTTATCTTTCTAGTTAAAAAGCATAATTTATTGAATATGTTGAATCTATCATATATTAACAGATACAATATGGCTTAACAAACTGCAGCCTCACACCGTTCGGCTAAACCACCATACCCTGAAGCTACTCAAATATTGGACTTGGCAGTTTGTCATCATACGCCCAGTTTGTTCTGTCTTGATGATAACACTGCAAGCACTTGGACTCTACCCCAGTTGGTTGAGCTGGACATTCACTATCATTCTTAATGTTTCAGTTTCATTAGCGTTATACTCTCTAGTGGTGTTTTACCATGTGTTTGCAAAGGAATTGGCACCACATTCCCCCCTTGCAAAGTTCCTGTGCATCAAGGGAATAGTCTTCTTCTGCTTTTGGCAGGTACAATTTCTCGACCTCTTCAGTTCTTTTGCATGCCTGATTTATATATGCAGCCTTAAAGAAAATGCAGTCAAGGATATATAACATAAAGAAAATGCAGTCAAGGATATATAACATAAGCAAATCCACAAAAACACCAAGGACAAGGATATGAAACCCCTCTATAGAATCTCCTAGTTATTGGTATTATCTGAGTTGCTGGTTGTTGTCTTCTGAACTCGAAAATAATTTAACTTGTTTTGAACTGCTCACCTCATTTGACGGAATTACAATTTGAGAGCGATTTGCTGCAACTTAGGGAGAGTTTGGTATAATATTCTCTGTTTTTAGACTTGGAAGCAAAGACATTTAAGAAAGTGGGAATTGGTTTGTAACTGAACCATCATTGACTTAATCAGCTGGTTCTATTGGAAACTGGTTTCCGGTAAAAAACTTGATCACTACCAAGAGATTCCTTTTGCTGTTTTCTTTTCGTATTTATTTATTTTGAAGTGCCATTTATTACTTGTTAACAAATAAGACTTATTGAACCATTTGCAGGGAGTGGTGATTGACGTATTAGCTGCTGTAGGCGTCATTCGATCTCATCATTTCTGGTTAGATGTGGAGCACATTGAGGAAGCTATTCAGAATGTCTTGATATGTCTGGAGATGGTGGTGTTTTCTGTTCTCCAGCAATATGCATACCATGTTGCACCTTACAGCGGAGACGTAGAATCAAAGATGAAATTAAACAAGAAGAGGGAGTGATTTGAATAGTTTTCATATAAACTATATACAAGAGTGTGATTTCTTTTTTAAGTTTTAGTAAAATGTATCACCTCTCAACAATAATATTACGTGTGTTTGGACCAACTTTGAACTACTTTGAACTATCTTCCTTAAAAGATGAGGTGTTCAATTGGATCATGTATTTCATACAAATTTTTTTTTCAGGATAATTTATTCTATTTCCTCTGTTTAGTTGGTTAGTTAGTGATGACAATAATGTTCGTAAGTGATGATATAAAAAAAAACATGTTAGTGTTGTTGGTTCAACCAAACCAGCATTACCAAAATCACAGCAGATTAGCAATAATCTAAGCTATGGGATGACCAATGGATTGGATTTAAAAAAAAACACATGTAAACAGGAGAGAGAGAGAGAGAGAGAGGGTCCAATGATCAACTACCAAACCAAATTAATATCCCAATCATCAATCGTCAATTATCAACCAGAGCTTGCAAGCCAGAGAGGAGATCCTACAATACAAGGCAGTAATTTTAGCATCTCATGCCTTTCTTGCTTATGAAAACCATAACCTTGCTCATTGCATGTCCCAAAAAATACTTTGGTTGGGGATTAAGTAAAACATATTTAGCATGTTAATATATGTATATGTATATACGTATGTGTGTATTATGGTAGCCTAAAGGAGATGTCACATGTACAAGATTCCATTTCCTGAATGATTACAAAAAGTTGGGGGCATTTTCAAGGTAGAATTCACACTCAAGCGGCAGATTGTAATTGTATTTTTATCTGAAGCGGCAGATAGAGATTGGACAATTAATTGAACACTTTTTATTTTTGGGTCGGGACTAAATGGACTAAATATATGTTTGGTTGTTTGGTTGTTTGGTCGGGTAAACCAAACAGTAGACTGGAGATGACAACAAAAAAAGAAAAAACAGAGGACGGCGCCGTCAAAGGCCAACACGCGTGACGGGCCCTTAGAAGAAAATTAAAAAGGAGCCACAAAGCCAGAATACGAAACCTTGGCTTGCCCATCGACATACGTGACGCGTGTGCCATGCCAGCCTCCAAAGTCCAAACACAACAACAAAGCAGAGAGCGAAGAAAGATACCCACTTCTCATTTTCTCATTTTCAGAATCACAACACAAAGACCGACCCTTCTTTATTTTTGAAAGAGAGAGAAAGAGAGAGCTGTTTGGTTTGGATTGCCAGAAACATGAACCAGAAGGCAAACGTTTCTAAAGAGCTTAATGCCAGACACAGAAAGGTCTCTCTTCTTCTCTTCATTTTACTTATACAATCTCAAAGTTCTATTCTTTTCTCTGTTATATGGTTGAAAGATTTGGTTTTTTTTCTTTTCTTTTCTTGTTTCGTGGGGATGAAATTTTTGGCTTTGTTGTTGGTTGAGTTTGAAGCTGAGCATGATTAAGTGTTTTGGGCTGATGGGTTGGCCTCAAACTCAAACATATGTCAGTTATTAACTAGCTTGCAATCTTATGGTTTCATGACAATCTTTTTGGGGTTTGCTTGTACCTGGAACACTGTAATTGGATTCCATGTGCTTTAGTGATTCATGACCGTTATCAATGTTTCTTTGAGCTAACTGGGTTTTTTTCAAGATGTTAATTGGGTCTTTAGCAAGACGGTTCGTTGCATCTTGTTCAACTTTAGCAGTGTTCGAAAATTCCGCCTAGGCGGCCTGGGCGGGTCCTTTATTTCAAATTTTTTATTTTTTTATATTTTTTGATTCTGGTGCACCTTATAAACAGAATTGGTTATCTGACACTGCCTATGTTGTTCGTCTTATGTTGCATTCAGTTATTTCACTGAAATAATTGAAAATTCAGCCGTAATCAGTTCATGATCATATAGTATCTACAAGTATAATTGAACTGTTGATGGTGCAAGCGTGGTTTAGTGAAGGTCCACAATGAGTTGTCACTTGGTCGGGAGATAATGATAACAATAGTTTATTTCTGCATGTAGCACACAAACACAGCTGTCCATTACATTAGATGTTTCTTCTTTTTTTTATAATTGTTTTTAATCAAAGTATTTTAGTTTCTAAGCATTTTTAGAACACTTTTTTTGCTTAAGGTTGATTAGCTGAGCCAGACTGGGTGTTAATTTTCCCCTTGTAAATTTTTGTGTTTTCTAACTAGCATTTGAACCAGTTTCACAATTACCTCTGATTTTTTTTGGTCTCATCTGGTTTCCTTGTATGTAGATATTGGAGGGTCTTCTTAAACAACCAGGGAACAGAGAATGTGCAGACTGCAAAACCAAGTGCGTATCTTGGAATGATGTAGATAGTAATTTTTATTTTGCTAAAGCAGAAACAACAGAATAGTTTTTATTCAATAGCAAGGATTAAGGGGAAGACACAAAGTAATGAAAACTTTTTAGATTTTAATGCTGTACTTTGGTGGAGGTTAATTTTATCGTTGTCATCTTATATGGATGGTTAACTTGTAATGGTGTTTTGCGCAGAGCTCCACGATGGGCTAGTGTGAATCTTGGGATCTTCATATGCATGCAATGTTCGGGGATCCACAGGAGTCTTGGGGTACATATATCAAAGGTGGCAAATCTTTTTGCCTATTTATTTTGCAGTCAATTTCGTGTTTTTTGTATACATCGAAGTGCTATTTATATTTTAGGCCATAGGCACATGAACCCGTGCAATTAGAGGTTCATTTTCCTCTTGCTATTCTGTATATGTTTTGCATTGTTTCAAGGATTTTGATGTTGATGCAGGTGAGATCTGCCACATTGGACACATGGCTTCCAGAGCAGGTTGCATTTATCCAATGTAAGTACAATGTCATATGACTGGTTTCTTTTCATTCTGCTGGCAGTCAAGTATAAAACCATGATACGATACGAGTACTGAAATTCATTTTGGTTCATTGTTGCTGCTAGCTATGGGAAACGAGAAATCAAATAGGTTTTGGGAAGCAGAGTTGCCTCCTAATTATGACAGAGTTGGAATTGAAAATTTCATTCGTGCAAAGTAGGTTTGTTTATTATTGGCTAAGATTGTTGGTTTTTGTATGATGCAGTACTAGTAGTTCATATTTTGGGCTTAGGTGTTTGGGTGCTTATGTTATCCATTAGGTATGAACACAAGAAATGGGTTCCTAAGGATGGAAAAGCAAAATCACCTCCAAGGGTGAATGAAGAGAAGAATTCCGTTTATAGAGCGAGACCTGAAACTAGTAGTCCACATGGCCATGTGAAAGAGACGGAACGATTTTCTGAAGAGCAGAAAGGTGCTCATCCACCCAGTGCAAGTAACAGGGCACCTCAGCAGGTAAATGTTGTGTTGTTTGTTTTCCCTCTCAAATCAATGGACAACTGATGCATATCATGCTGCCTCTTGTTTTGGTATGTCTTGGTTCCTTTTTTCTTCCATATCTCTGTGTATGCAAGTAAGTTTATGATCTTGATGCACAGGTCAACCATGATTCAAAACCACACCAACTTGAGCAAAAATCAAAACCAGAAGCAGCCTTGAAAGCTGAACCTGCAGCAAGTCAAGCACCTAGTGTTGCCACGGTTTCCCTACCAGTTAAAGTGGATTATGCTACTCATCTGTTCAATTTGCTCTGTGTGGAAGAATCTAGAGGAAATGACTATGTGACATCTGCCAATAAAAATACATTGGCTGGTCTCCATGGTATGTTTGTTTTATTTAATGTCATTAGAACAACTGTTGCTTCATCATTGTTTTATTTAATATCATTAGAACAACTGTTGCTTCATCATGTTGTTTTCCCACCCAGGACAAAAAAAATTCAAATCAATAACATCTTATAAATTTGGGTTTAGGATTACCATTGATTGACCTTGAACTCCTTAACGTGCAGCAGATGAAACAAAATTGACCGAAGAGAAAAGTAAAGGAGCAGAATCATCTGAGAGCAAGATTCAGCCAAAATATGGTTATGGTATTGAGGATTTATTTATAGATTCAACCCCAGTCACTCAACCCTTTTCAATGAAACCCCAGAATGACGTTATGAACTTACTTGAGAAGGTATAAGTTGCAAAATCTGTTTAGCATGCCATAAGTAGCTGTTGATGTAATGCTGGTAGAACACGATCTATGAATACTTAAGATATTGGTTTATGTTTCTCTCACAAATTTAATATTGGATTTTGGTCAGTCCAGTATGGCTTCTCCATCCATGCATCAACAGCAACTTGCAGTTCTATCTCAACAACAGTCGTCACTCATGTCTTCTGCAGCGAAATCTAGCGCAACCCATTCAGTTCCTGCAAACCTACAACCTGGATCCCATGCCATCCACTTGCCAACTCGAAATGGGCAAAGCATTGGCCGCCAAGTTCCTGGAAACCTGGTGCCTGCTCATCCTCCTCCACAACATTATACTCGGGTTGTGCTTATGAAAAAGCTTACAACTAGAATTTTTCCATTTCATGTTCCGTCTCTTATCTTTTTTGTCATCTTTTTTTCTGTACAGATTGGAAATGGCGGTCCTACACGCCCGGTAGGGAATGCAGTTCCTTTCCCAACATCAAGGTACACATTATAGATCAATGGATTCCAAATCATACAATTTGAGTGTTGATAGACCTGGTTGAGAAATATTCCGATTGCATGAGATTTTTAATTTTATTTTTCTAAAAATATGCAGCATGTACGCGACAAGGCCAGTAACTTCAGTGAATGGTGTCACAAACCTTAGAGCTACCGGATTTTCAACAGCGTCACCGATATCTTCCATCCCTCCCACTAAGTCAGGAAGGGATTTTGATTTCTCATCATTAACTCAAGGATTGTTTACTAAACGATGAGCAATTGCTCATTTTAACCGCAGCATTACCTAGTTGGTTCCTTCCTGAGATGGTGAGTTCAATTGTATCAGCAGCTGTGTATTTCTGAAGTTTAATTCATCATGGAAAGAAATTAATAATACTAAAAAGCAAGGCAAAAATTTTCCTTTTAAGTATGCATACCATACCACATATCTTTACAAAATTGTTTTAAGTTCGAAAGATAATAAAAGAGGAGCAAGGAAAAAATGAAGCCTCCTTCCTCCTGACTTGGGAAAATGTTACTTCAAAACCACAGCAGCATTTCTGTGAGCCGGATATGTCTGGACATATTCTATTGGGAAGCTATCAGCATTGGCGTAGCGGAGGTTGGTACTTGGATCATAGTAAGCTGCCTCATATCCTGTAATATCACATATTCTCTTGCATGGATGCATTGACGGCGCCGACTCTACATTAACATCTGCAATGCAACCATCATGCTATGCCACGTTCAAAAAAATGAAGTACTAAACTAAAATGAATATGTTTTTTTAAACCCAAACTAAGCAATCTCTAAAGGAAACTTTTTTTTATATCTCTAAAGGACACTAAATTCAAAATATCAAAGAGGAATAAAAGTGAAAACTTGAAATTATTTATGTATAGTGTAGCTTACAATTGGGTTCATGGGGTGGGTAATTCTGGTAATTCTCGGCCTGGATGATTTGCTTGAGGTGTTTCCAATGTCTGCCCCTCAAAATTCGCCGGGAAAGGTGTATCCCGTCGCAATTGTGTTGGAAAATAACAGAAGGTGCCGAAAAAGTCTGGCTAAATTTTTTCAGGAAAGAACAAAATTCGCCGGGAAAGTTCTATCTTCTTCTTTTCTTTCTCTCTTTCTGAATTTTCCTCTTCCCACCATACGAAAATTTGTCGGGAAAGGTCTATCCAGCGAAGATTTTCAAATTTGGGTTTTAATACAAAAACAATTCTTGTGCCTCATTCTGAGCCCACTTCTACTTTAGGTTTACATAAGTGGAATGCTTCTCAACTACATTGTTTTTTTTTAATCGGTAATAAAAATATTTGAATACTGTAGTTAAAAATTATATTTGTATGATATAAATGTCTGGTGTAAATTTGTAATATCTATTTGTATGGCATAATGTCTGGTGTGGTATTGTATTGATGTTATCGTCTTGAGCAACGTCCAGCTCATAGAAAAGCTGGCTCTTGTGTGAAGCTCAGATATTATCGACTTGTTGGCTTCATTTGTTTGTATATACCACATTGTTGCAAATATAAATAGGAGGATGGTAAACCCAGATAAACAAATAAATAAAAGTTTCTGTTGTGTAAAGGAAGAGAAAAGAAAGAATACAAGAGCATGGCTAAGATTATCAACTTGGTTTTGATGCTCTCTCTTCTCCTTGTAGTAGCTTCCGAAGGCCAATTTCTTGGTAAATATAATTTTTTTTGTTTTCGGAAAAAAAAAATGTAGCATACAAAAATAGATATGTAATATGATTATGTACGTAATTTTTAAGGCTTATATTGACTTTCATTTTTTTTTAATATTGAAATTAGCAAATGGGATTTTGAAGCCGCCGGCCACCCTGAAATGTGAATCAGTGTATGGTGTGAAAACTGGAGACACCTGTTTTGAGATTGCACAGGCTTTCAGCTTGCCAACTGAGCTCTTCGATTCAATCAATCCCAATCTGAATTGCACAGCTCTTTTTGTAGGCCAATGGGTTTGTCTTAACGGCACACTTAGTTAATTAAGCTGCATCTGCATTCTGCATGCAGTGCATGATGAATAAGGAGATCACAAAATGTATTTGTTGATTGCCTTTTCGGCCCAATGTCTTAAGGGTCAGATTGGGCCAGTTGTGTTTAATCTTGATGCAATTCCAAATGGGAACCTCAAAAACTTATCCAACAACAAAATCCATTGAGAATTTCCTTCAAACACAAAAGTGCTTTTGTTTGGTATAAAAGTAGTTTGATAGCTTTTTAAACAGTTGGGAATCACCCAAAAAGACACTTGCATCACGCAGCAGCTTGTATGTCAAGACCCAAAAGTGCTTAATTGAATGCATTGTTGAGATGACGAGAGACTAAAAAGAGATGCAAAAGAACCAAAATTTAAAGCTAAGCATATGATACCCAACTTGTGTTTTAGAAAAAGAAATGAAACCGGTTATCCAAATCTATCCAAAAACATATCCATTAGCATTTAGGAGAGCCCAAAAAGCGTTCCTATATATATTTAAAGTCTGGTCATGCGATACTTCTTCTTTTTCTTTTTCATTTCATAGGAAGGCCGTGGCCAAATTGACAAACAACCTCCCTCACACCTCCCTTTTGCTACAAGGATTTATTTGGCATGTGACTTGTAATTCGTACAGCATTATTTGTTGCCTTCACATTCAAGCTTTCAAAATACCATGCCTTGTTGCAATCTCATTATTACATTGTAGAAAAATAAAAAAAAAATTGCTACACTAAAAAGCATGTGAAATTTGATTCCCCCACCACTTTGCAATAAAGTTGTAATATGAATTATGGCAATCTTGATTTGGTGGTTGGGTGCAGTTTCCATTCACCCGAGAAAGTTCCCTCTAGTTTTCCACACAAATCGTTGTTTAATCCAATGTGCCCCATTATCTATTTGATCACATCAATGGCTCACAACCATCCACGATATTCTGTGAATAATATACCTTATCAATTATGTCATCAGAGCTATTATTTATCTGTTATAACTTCCATATTTGCTAAAGAGATCATTTTATTATATACCACATCGTTTATCTGCTTACTATTAAGGTGAAATTTAATTGTATTGATAGGTTATTTTAAAAATATAGTACAATAACGTGCTCTCCATAGCAGTATTTACATGAAACTTTCGAGCCTATCAATTATAAGGTTGCTTAGAAGGCTGTAAAGGTTATAGCTAACTCATGTACGAATTCATTTTATGTAGACAGAACTATATATGATAAAGGTCTCACTAAAAAATGGCCCTATACATTACCATACCTGCAACTACTAAGTATACCTAAATTGAAATGCCTTTCGATTGAGCCAATCTTATAGCTCCACCAATAATTGCATGGTACTCATCAAGAAATTTTAATTTCAACTTTTTGATCCTTACTTGGAGGACAATTATAGACTGTCAGCTTTACTCTGTTTTGCCTGTTTTGTCATTCGATTTTTTAAATTTTCGATTTGCTGGACAAGTCTGAGTGGCTTATATTGCACAAGTTTCGACCCAACCATTGCCGTGGAAAAGTAGAACCAGAATAGTGCTTTTGTTCCAAAACACAATCCTAGCTGTGGCCCAACCCACATAAGTCAGCACCTCCCCAATATATGCAGAAAAACTTACCAACAACAACGAAAATAATATTGTTTTGCCATTCTCGATTAATAATAAATTAATAATATTTATAATATGTAAAAAAATTATCATATGTCTGCATCTCTTCGGTTGATTCAAAGATGCTTGTAAATAATGGACGCAAATTTATAGCAAAAATGAAAATTTGACATGAACGCTTGCACAACCATTTTTTTCTATATATAACCTTGGCGTTGGAAACAATAATAATATTCACTTCTACCAAAAATAAAATAAAAAGAAAAAGTAAATGAGGAGATGGGCAACACATAATAACCCATGACCAATTACACAGTTTTGACAGTTTGACCAGCCTTGCCCATCTCATAACCTCCATTGGGGTGATCTTCTTCCTCACTGACGAACCTCTTCCAATACCAGTGTGTCCTCCATACTCTGCCCATCTCCTCAATTGGAATGCCCTTTGTCTCCGGCAAGAAGTAGTAAATGAAAATGGACATCACGAACACAAAGAACGCAAAGAAGAGGAAGAGCCCAAATTTCAAATGGCAGAGCATCGTCAAGAAGATTTGAGCCACGAGGAAAGTAAAGATCATGTTCACTGAAACGTTGACGCTCTGAGCAGCTGATCGGATTTCCAGTGGGAAGATTTCACTGGGGACGAGCCAACCCAGTGGACCCCATGACCATGCGAAGCCTGCAACATATGTGCAGATGAAAATCACCACCACAATTGCATACCACTTTGGCAATTCTCCAGGGGTCCCATCCACCCCAAATTTTGCACCAATACAAGCTGTCACAACTGCCTGCAATTTGAAGATTAAAAAAAACCCAATTGATCAAAATCCAAAAACCAAAAAACCCAACTGTTAAATTACAAAAAGATTTGAACTTTTTATGTTTTTTGATAAAGGGTACCTGGCAAATAAGCATTTGAGCTCCACCCTCAAGGAAAAGAAACCTTCTTCCCCACTTGTCAACACCATAGATTGAAACCATAGTTGCAAGAACATTGACACTGCCAGTGATCACAGCTGACATGAGAGAAGCATCGCTTCCAAACCCAATTGTGTTGAACAAAACAGGGGCGTAGAACATGATCACATTGATCCCGGTCAGCTGCTGGAAGAAGGGGATGAGGATGGCCATGCTGAGGTGAGGCCTGTACTTCCTCTTCAACAGGTTCCTCCACGGATCCTCAATCTGCTTCGACGCTTCACTAGCAGCAACAAGGTCACTGAACTCCTCACTGACATCGTCCACGCCGCGAATGCGCTGAAGTTTGGCCTTGGCTTCATCGTGTTGGCCCCGCTCAATCATGGAGTTGGGTGTGTCTGGTAGGACAAGGGAGCCAATTGTGATTATAAGAGCTGGCACCATAGCGCCACCCAAGCTCAATCTCCATCCCCAGCCACCGTGGATTTTGGCGAAGAAGTAGTTGAGGACATTGGCCACAAGGATACCAATTGTGATCGATAGCTGGAAGCCAATGTTGAGAGCTCCTCTGAATCTGTAAGGTGCCATCTCAGAGAGGTAGAGTGGCACAGACTGTAATTACAAAACAAACGTGACAACAAAAGAGTAAAATTAATTCATCAATGTTTATCCCCTGTCTAGATTAAACTTTTACATTTTATTAATGGTAATTTATGAACATTGATCAAAGTGAACAAAACGGTCACGATCCAGGGCCACATGGATGGTTTGAAAAGTTGTCATGGTTGGAAGTAAACATTTCAATGATGTCATGAATTTAATTTTTTATAAGGAATTCAAAGAAAATGACCATTTGTATTAAATTAAGTCAAAAACCGCTATCAGATTGCAATTTGAATTTTCAATTCAACCTCTCTTGCATCGAAGAGTAAACGCAGGCCTTCAAACGGCGCAAAGTGAAGTCACGCCCAAAGAAAAAACAGAGCATGCGTTGGAACTTAGTGAAAAGTGATTGCTAAAGACAAAGTTTCAGACTTTGAGTTTTTCCAGTTTAATTTTTCATACCCCTTGTTTGGTTGCTGAGTAAACTGAAAAAATTAGCATCTTTCTTCCCTGCATTTTCTTGGCAACCAAACAGTATATTGCTAGAAATTATTAGACCCCGTGAACCCAGAAAGCAGAGAAAGAAACAACACGCACATACAAAAAGGGTTGAAATTTCATATCCAGTTTTGTCACGTTCCAAGTTTGTCTGAGTCATCTAAGTTTAAAGCCCGTTTCAGGTCAGATCTGAAGAAATACAGGGAGACATGGTAAAACGACAAACCCAGAAAACAACCCAAGCCAAAGCATAAATAGAACTCGGACACAAAAAACAGGAAGGAATAAAATCATTGGGCTTTGTTTTGTTTGTTTTTGAACAGCACATTCCTTGTTTTTTACGGACAACTTGCATTGAACAAAAACTAAAACACAAACAAAATATCATGATTCATGTGCAAGATATCAAGAATTCTTGACCCAAAAAAAAATACACACACACACACAAAGAACCAAACAGAGAGATCAGAAAGGAAAATCTCTAGGGCATACCTGATTGGAGAAGCCGATACCGAAACCGAGCAACATACGGCCTAGAATCAACATCCAGACAGCTTTGGCGGCTCCATTGATGATGGCGCCAGCCATGAACAGCAGACCTCCAAACAACATGGACAGTTTTCGACCAAATTTACGTGTGACGGTGGCTGCTATAATTGAAGCTATCAGAGCAGCCAAATACAGAGACGATGTGAACATGGTCAGTGTTTGACTATCATATTGACAGTACTGGTTTGTGGTCTTGTCTTCTTCCTTTTTCCGGTACACAGCCGGGAAAAACTTCTTCAAGAATGAGTCCATGGACGTTACACCACCTAATCATAATTCAAAAAAGAAACTTTCAAATTTGTAATTCATCATAAATAAATAAAAAGGTACGTTAGTGATCAAGGTGCGATCTGGGAAATGAAAAGAAAATTACCAGAAATTCCGATATCGTAGCCAAAAATGAGACCCCCCATGGCTGCAACAATACATGTTGCTAAAACAAAAGGAGTGAGGTTTCCAACGTACTCCTTGTTGTTCCCACTAGTGGGAATACCAACAGCAGGCATTGTTGGTCTTTTTGGGAAATTCAGCTGCTAAGCAGACTGATCAAAAAGAGGAGGCAAAAGGGTTTGGATTTGGAACAGAGAGAAGGGATATTAGGGGAAGTGGAGAGAAAGTGAGAGAGCAGATAGACCAAGAGGAACAAGATAGAGCTTTTGGGCACAGGCTTAGCAGGTGTATATATAGAACAAAATATTCAACTTGCTTAAATTCCAGAGAACCATTTAGCTGTCAAGAAAACAATAAATAAAAAGTTTATCTTAATTATCATTCAAATTATTATTTTAATTTTCATACACGCTACATGACTGTTTGTGG